CACCAGAACAAATACATTAAGCTGTAGTTGTTCTGGACACTAATGTGTCCCTTAAATTTTTATTTGCACCTGCAGTCAGCATAAAAAGCATTCAGAGAAAGAGAGAAAAGAAACAATATATCGGATTCTCCTCTTCATTAGAAATCTTTGCCCTGGGTTGGGCTTCTCTTGATTATAGAAACATAAAATGTGACGGCAGATAAGAACCATTCGGGTCATCTAGTCTGCCCAATTTTTTAAATAGTTTAATTTGTCCCTGGCCTTATCCTATAGTTAGAATAGCCTTACGCCTATCCCACGCATGCTTAAACTCCTTTACTGTGTTAACCTCTACCACTTCAGCTGGAAGGCTATTCCATGCATCCACTACCCTCTCAGTAAAGTAATACTTCCTGATATTATTTTTAAACCTTTGTCCCTCTAATTTAAGACTATGTCCTCTTGTTGTGGTAGTTGTTCTTCTTTTAAAATATAGTCTCCTCCTTTACTGTGTTGATTACAAGATGATGTAATTTGCTAGCATTAATATGTTTAAAAAAAAAATTAAAATACAGCATCACACGGAAAAAACAAAAAGGAGGTAAACACCTATTACACACTTTAAGGGATACAAAGATGCATTACTAATGTGTCCTTCTGCCCCCTACCTCCCTGTCCATGGAAAACACTTCCTTTCATTTACCAGATGGATTCTAACTCCAAAGACCCTCGGCACTGGGTTGGGCTACTCATCTGCCAACACCAGGCAATAGGAGGGGGGTAAGGACCTAATGCCTTAACACAGGGGCCAAGTCCTGGGGAAAAAAGTGTGGGAACTCACCCAAGATTCCCGCCGTGTCCCTCCCCTTAAAAAAATTACACTCCTATGCATATAGTGCAGTGCAGGGTGTGTATAATGAATGTAGTGTGTTTGTAGTGAATGCAGAGTGTGTATAGTGAATGTAGTGTGTGTAGTGAGTGCAGAATGCATAATAAATGCAGAGTGTGTATAGTGAATGTAGTGTGTTTGTAGTGAGTGAAGAGTGTGTATAATGAATGCAGTGTGTGCGCAGGCGCCAGCTGGATGATGTGTGTGCGAAAGCGATGTGAGTGCTGGATGATGTGTGTGTGTGTGTGTGTGGATGGATGATGTGTGTGTGTGTGTGTGCTGGATGATGATGTGTGTGTGTGTGCTGGATGATGGGTGTGTGTGTGAGTGCTGGATGATGTGTGTGCTGGATGATGTGTGTGTGAGTGCTGGATGATGTGTGTGTGAGTGCTGGATGATGGGTGTGTGTGTGCTGGATGGTGGGTGTTTGTGTGAGTGCTGGATGATGGGTGTGTGAGTGCTGGATGGTGGGTGTTTGTGTGAGTGCTGGATGATGGGTGTGTGAGTGCTGGATGGTGGGTGTTTGTGTGAGTGCTGGATGATGGGTGTGTGAGTGCTGGATGGTGGGTGTTTGTGTGAGTGCTTGATGATGGGTGTGTGAGTGCTGGATGGTGGGTGTTTGTGTGAGTGCTGGATGATGGGTGTGTGAGTGCTGGATGATGGGTGTGGGGGGGGGGAAGCATTTTTTTCTTACTTTGTGTTTATTTTATTCCCCCCTCCCTGCTTCTTACCTTGTCAGGGAGGGGGGAGATCGCCTGGTGGTCCGGTGGTATGCTGGAGGGAACCAGCCGCTGCACAGAGGGGCCATCACACGCTGTGTTCCCTCTCCAGCTCTAACTCTCGCGAGACTCGCCTGTGCGGAGCGTTGCCATGGTAACAGCCGCGGGTCTCGCGAGAGTTATAGCTGGAGGGGGAACACAGCGTGTGCTGGCTGCTCTGTGCAGGTAGCAGGGCCGGTCCTGCAGGACAGATAACGGGAACGGCGTTCCTGCTTTGGAAAAAGTGCAGGAACAACGCTCCCATGCGTTCCTGCAGGACTCGAGCCCTGTCCTCACCCCCAACTTCGTCATGTTCTTAGACTGACATGTAGGTACAACAGGCTTCAGTAGAAGGAATGCTAGGAGGAGAGCTGCCCAGGGCAGGACTGTTGCGATCATTAAACTGGGAGTCAGAAGATGCAGATTTGACATCAGACAATCTAGTTCCCCTTTTTATACTGACAGTAACACCGGCAGTCAAACATATCGATCTGTGTCAATATCAAACCATGTTCAGAACCGATATCTCGTAAAGCAAAAATAAACAAGATTCACAAAAAGGAAGAAAAATGATTCAGTTATCTGCACTGTAAGGGGTTAAGTAATGCTTTTTCTAGAATAATATAATTATAGTGCAAAAATTTTACTTTTATCATTTTGCATTTATATTACTAACAGGTTTACAGGATACATGTTACATAATATAACTTATCATGGATTTAAATTTGTAGCTTCAAGCTACTAGCCAGGCCTTAAATGTTACTTGCCCCTGTAAGTCATAGCATGCCCTCCAAGGGTGAAATTCTACTCACCAATAGCTGGTGGAGCCATGACATGGAGCTATAATATAGAATATAAAAAATATACAGTTTCCATTTTATTATTATTCCTCTGAGGCCTTATTCTCCTGGTTGTGATATTGGCTGCCCTCACTAGCATCATTATCTGCCCTAATACACAGATACCCAATGTTTATAACTGGGTAAAAGTGGGAGGGCAAAAGGCTTCTCATCTGCCATCATCCACAGCCTTCAAAATTAACCCTTCCCATCATTGTGAATATAACATGTAGACAGAGCAGTTTAAAGGGACACTATAGTCTCCAAAACAACTTAACCTCAATGAAGCAGTTTTGATGTATAGATCATGCCGCTGCAGGCTCACTGCTCAGTTCCCTGCCATTTAGGAGTTAAATCACTTTGTTTAAACGGCTCCAGTCATATCTCCCTTCATGTGACTTACACAGCCAACCTAAACACTTCCTGTAAAAAGTCATTGTGACAGACCCATCTGTATAACTATTATTTGTCGGTTCGTCTAGTTTGCCTTTCTTTCATGAGAATTGCCTGTCCCTATACCCCCATGAGTATATTTGACTTTTTGCCGAATGAACCTACCGAACAGACGGCCACCCAGAATAGAAGTGTGCTGCTGATTAACCTCTTGATCCCAATTAGAACGTTGTGGTTAACCGCAGACACCTCTTAATTATAACCGAATACAGGGTGGTTGTCGTTCGTATGTCGACCACGAGGCGGCGGCCATTTTAAACCATGCGAAAGACCAGCGGTGTTCGACATTGATTCTATGGAACTAAACACGGACACTTTTTCTGCCGAACACTGCTAAAAGCACAGACCGTCCTTCTCAGTCGACAAAGGCATGCGAACACCGGCCGTTCGGGAGTTTTGGATTACACGAAGGGACTTAACCCAGATAGCCATCCCATGGAGTCAATCGCATACTGAAAGACTGTAAAGACTCCATGGCGATTGAACTATGCGTATGGGATCTAAACGCTATTCGCTAAGAATATGCCCTCAGATCCAGGCTCTCTGGGGATACGTTGCACGAATGTAAAATGTTCGGTAGTTGTATAATTATTTATTTTCCTTTCTTTTCTGGTGTCTTACTTAAAATGGCGATTTGCCTTTGTCCTGGAGATAATTGAATTACTTCTCAATTATCTCCAGGGCAGAGGGGAGGAAATCATGATGCATTGTGGGAATCTTTTGTGCCTGTGTGTCTGAAATAGCTATATATCTGTCTGTCATTACAGTCTTCCATTTGGTCCCCAAGGGGAGTGTCCACCAAGAGGGAGACCTGCATAAATACGGGTGGGTAGCCCTCAGTAAACCCAGTTCTTGTTTTACCCCCAATGCGGAGCTTGGTCTCGTTATTGGGGGGATTTACTACATACGCTTAGAGACTGATTGCTGGAGCCGTAAACTGCTTGGAGGATATATTTGTTCGGCGGTTAGCGACGATTCGTGGATTATTATTCGGGAGTTGGAGTACCCGTACGGATCCCGTTCGGGAGATTGACGCCTTCCCCTGGTTGCGGTTCGTACGCTGAATTATATGCGAACGGAGATTGCAGGATTGTGAAGGGGGAAGCTTAACTAAGCAGTTTCACTCCTGGGCACCAGGGGTGTCTTAACAGTCATCTAATGTTTACACTTCCTTTATTGCAAATTCTGTTTAGCTTTGAATCTCTTATCTCCTGCTGTGTTAATAGCTTGCTAGGCCCTGCAGGAGCCTCCTGTATGTGATTAATGTTCAATTTACAGAGCATAAGATAAAAACTTTTAAAGTAAGTTAACATCTGATAGAAAAATAATTTTATTTCATGCAGTCACAGCCAGGGGAAGTGTGGCTAGAGCTGCATAAACAAACAATTCAACTCCAAAATGGCAGTAAGTTGAGCAGTGAGACTTTAGGGGCATAATCTATACACCAAAACAGCTTAATTAAGCTAAAGTAGTTTTGGTGACTATAGTGTCCCTTTAAACTCCATCCATCATACCAGGACAGCCTACACTAGCTATGTGAGGAGTACTCTCGTGCTTTTCCCTGGTAATGGGGCAAACTGTTTTACAATGGATTGACCTCTTACCTGGACCCCTGAATGTTCTGTACAGCAGCTTATGACATCCGGCAGAGCTGTAGAAATTAGATGTAGAACCTGCCAATCATTCAATGACTGTCACTCTCAGCCAACGACTCTCCTATGCTCAGAATTGACATTAGCCAGTCCGGAAATCTTGTTCATGGCTGGTCAACGCCCCAATGATGCTGCAGGAGGTGGAGTTATAACACTGGTAGTCAAGAGGTTAAACTCAGTATCAGAGCGCCTCACAGCACATACAAACTCCATGACACACACCATGACCACTTCAAATCACTGAAGCGATCATGGTGTTTAGAGTAACCCTTTAATATAGCTTTTCTGATGGAAAGATGTCAAGAGGTGCGTGATTTATTAATCTGGTTTTGCTTTTTATTGCACTGATTATCGCATTTTCTGCAGAAACAGGAGTAACAGTCTCACTCTTTAAGAAAAGGACCGCGCATAGTGAATTCATTAAGGTTTCACGGATTCACCAATCTATCGGCCGGTGACTCCAGCACTGTGATTATCCTATCGTGTAATAACTATTTAAGCCACAGCAAGAAGGGTCCGTTGACTGAGGGTTCACTTTACAGATGACGGCCCCTGATCTCTTAGTTTGTAATGTTCTTCTGGAATATTCCTGAGTCGCTCAGCCGCCTGCAGGAACAGAATCCACCGTTAACTCTTGGAACAACATAGTGTGCAGAAACAGCAACAAAGCAAATAAATCTGCTTCTCAATTATAATAATTCCCATAACATATATATATTATTATTTATTACAAGAATATATTCTGTTAGAATTTTTTATTACGTCATGAAAACTGTTACAGAGTGCATTTCTGAGGTGCACAGCACTTGCATGATGTCAGGATTGACAAATGACAACTAGATTTGGATTTTCTGAAAGGTCATTGGTTAGATAAAGGCACGTCTGACCAGAGGAATCAAAGATGGCAGACTCCATAGAGCAAGAGTAAGCCGGGAAATACTGTGTAAAATGGTATTTAATTAAGTTTAAGCTAGAATTCCTGTAATAGTCAAGTGATCATTGTCTTTAATTAAAAAATAAACAGTTATATATTCCCTTTAATTATAGTTACATCGCTGAAAAGAGACTTGCGTCCATCAAGTTCAGCCTTCCTTACATATGTTTTTGCTGTTGATCCAAAAGAAGGCAAAAAACCCTAGTCTGAAGCGCTTCCAATTTCAACAAAATAGGAAAATAATTCTACTTGACCCCAAAATAGCAGTCAGATGTCTCCTTGGATCAAGCAGCTATTACCCCACAAATTAGAAATTATATCCCTGTATGTTATGTTTTTGCAAGTATTTATACCGCAAAGCCATGACACACATTGCAAATGAACAGGTAAGATAGAAATATTGTTTAATTTATATTCTCTGTAAGCTATCTCTATGCTCACTGAAGAATTTATAACAATGGCTTACACGGAGCTAAGATGGAGACGCCCAGTTCCAGGACAGAGCGTATAACAATGGATGACAGGGAGCTAAGTTGGAGGCGCCCAGTAATAGGACAGAGCGTATAACAATGGCTGACAGGGAGCTAAGATGGAGGCGCCCAGTAATAGGACAGAGTGTATAACAATGGCCGACAGGGAGCTAAGATGGAGACGCCCAGTTCCAGGACAGAGCGTATAACAATGGCCGACGGGGAGCTAAGATGGAGGCGCCCAGTAATAGGACAGAGTGTATAACAATGGCCGACAGGGAGCCAAGTTGGAGGCGCCCAGTAATAGGACAGAGCGTATAACAATGGCTGACAGGGAGCTAAGATGGATGCGCCCAGTAATAAGACAGAGCGTATAACAATGGCTGACAGGGAGCTAAGATGGAGACGCCCAGTTCCAGGACAGAGCGTATAACAATGGCTGACAGGGAGCTAAGTTGGAGGCGCCCAGTAATAGGACAGAGCGTATAACTATGGCTGACAGGGAGCTAAGATGCAGACGCCCAGTTACAGGACAGAGCGTATACCAATGTCTGACATGGAGCTAAGATGGAGACGCCCAGTTACAGGACAGAGCGTATAACAATGGCTGACGGGGAGCTAAGATGGAGACGCCCAGTTACAGGACAGAGCGTATAACAATGGCTAACAGGGAGCTAAGATGGAGGTGCCCAGTTACAGGACAGAGCGTATAACAATGGCTGACGGGGACCTAAGATGGAGACGCCCAGTTACAGGACAGAGCGTATAACAATGGCTGACAGGGAGCTAAGATGGAGACGCCCAGTTACAGGACAGAGCGTATAACAATGGCTGATGGGGAGCTAAGATGGAGACGCCCAGTTACAGGACAGAGCATATAACAATGGCTGACAGGGAGCCCAGTTACAGGACAGAGCGTATAACAATGGCTGACAGGGAGCTAAGATGGAGACGCCCAGTTACAGGACAGAACATTTAACAATGGCTGACAGGGAGCCCAGTTACAGGACAGAGCGTATAACAATGGCTGACAAGGAGCCAAGTTACAGGACAGAGCGTATAACAATGGCTGACAAGGAGCCAAGTTACAGGACAGAGCGTATAACAATGGCTGACAGGGAGCTAAGATGGAGACGCCCAGTTACAGGACAGAGCGTATAACAATGGCTGACGGGGAGCTGAGATGGAGTCACCCAGTTACAGGACAGAGCGTATAACAATGGCTGACAGGGAGATGGAGACGCCCAGTTACAGCACAGAGCATATAACAATGGCTGACGGGGAGCCAAGATGGAGACGTCCAGTTACAGGACAGAACATTTAACAATGGCTGACAGGGAGCCCAGTTACAGGACAGAGCGTATAACAATGGCTGACAAGGAGCCAAGTTACAGGACAGAGCGTATAACAATGGCTGACAAGGAGCCAAGTTACAGGACAGAGCGTATAACAATGGCTGACAGGGAGCTAAGATGGAGACGCCCAGTTACAGGATAGAGCGTATAACAATGTCTGACAGGGAGCTAAGATGCAGACGCCCAGTTACAGGATAAAAATCTGTGGATTTATACATTTTATTTTTCACGTCTCACATATATTTGTTAAATAATGTACTATTAATAATATTACAGGGGAGGAGGTGGGCTATTTACTTGGCAGAATCTTGTTCCTGAGTTCTACTATTGGTGATCCAGCGGAGGAAAGTACCGGCAAAGACTAGGGCACCACTACAATACGTTCTCTGTGTCCCTTTAACACAACCCTTACCAATGTGCTGCCGACTCACCTGCTCCGCTGTCAGGTCTCTCTGAGCCTGTCCCAGCATCTCGTATCCCACCATAAATTTGCGCACAGTCGCAGAACGCAGAAGTGGCGGGAAGTAGTGCGCATGGAGCTGCCAGTGGCTGCAATCCTCAGACAAATGACACCCAGTAGGAGCACCTGGAACCGAACAATCCAAATCAATGTTCTACTCAGTATTATCCACATATCCCACAGAGCTCCGTCTGATAATTCATATACCACACAAAACTCAGTCTGATAATTCATATATCCCACAGAGCTCTATCTGATAATTCATATATCCCACAGAGCTCTATCTGATAATTCATATATCCCACAGAGTTACGTCTGATAATTCATATACCACACAGAGCTCCGTTTGATAATTCATACATCACACAGAGCTCCATCTGATAATTCGTATATCAAACAGAGCTTCATCTTATAATTCCTATATACCAGTCCAAGTAATACATACCACGCCAGCCCATGTAATAAGCACCATGGCAGTCCATAAAACTAAGGCAGCAAATGTGATATGTAATATACCATTCCATGTTATACACAATATGGCAGACAATATAATTATATATATATATATATATATATACACACACACACACTGTCCCATGTAATATATAACATGTCAGACCATATCATATGTAATATGCCATCACATGTAATACGTACCATGCCAGCCCATATAATATGTAATATACCACCCCATGTAAAACATACCATGCCAGTCCATATCATATGTAATATACCATCCCATGTAATACATACCATGCCAGCCCATATAATATGTAATATACCATCCCATGTAAAATGTACCATGCCAGCCCATATAATAAGTAATATACCATCCCATGTAATACGTACCATGCCAGCCCATATAATATGTAATATACCATCCCATGTAATACATACCATGCCAGTCCATATAATATGTAATATACCATCCCATGTAATACATACCATGCCAGTCCATATAATATGTAATATACCATCCCATGTAATACATACCATGCCAGCCCATGTAAACGTACAATGCCAGTCCACATAATATGTAATTTACCATCCCATGTGATATGTAATATACCACCCCATATTTATTTATAAAATATGTTACCAGGATGGATACATTGAGATTTCTCTCGTTTTCAAGTATGTCCTGGGTCCACAAAACATTGTATTGATGCAATAGGGTCCAATATTACAAAAATACAATATACGAACAGCCCATATAATATGTAATATACTATCTCACATAATGTGTAATATACCAGCCCATTAAATACGTACCATGCCATCCCATGGAGTACGGAAAGGAAATTTCAAACATATTGTCATACTTGCAGAGCAGACGCTTCATGATGGACACCAAGCCTCGAAAGAGAAAAAAGAAAAAAATTCTTTCATGTCAGAACGTAATATAAAAATATCAGACCTGGATTTATTTATCACTCTTATCTTACTGTTAGCCCGCACTTGTCTGCTATTGTACTGTTGGCCTCTTACATCTCACCAGGGAGGTGCCACTGATACCCCTGAACATACAGTGAAAACATTAGGGTATACCACACAGAGTTACAGTCACTATAACCACTGCTATTATGGTTTTGGTGCCATGAGTCCTGGGAACCATCTGCCAGTTATCTGTTAAACCATTAATAAACAGATTAAGTCACCTTATTACCTTCCTGTGTCAGGCGCCTGCAGTCATTGCAGAGTTTGATAAATACAATGAATTCTGTTTAAACCTGGTATGAATTAGTATCAGCCAACAAGAACCATGGTCAACCAACAGATTACACCCAGATGGCTCCAAAATAAACAGGCACTGCAGTGGTCATATTGCCAAGAACAGGCATAGGCAACCTTTGACACTCCAGATGTTTTGTACTACATCTCCCATGATGCTTTGCCAGCACTATGGGTGTAAGAGCATTATGGGGGGTGTAGTCCACAACATCTGCCGAAAGGTTGCCTACACCTGGCCTAGAGTGTCCCTTTAAATAAACACAACCCCAAGATTTCCAGTTTACGGGGCTCCCTAACATGCAGCTCGCACAGTAAAATAACATGTTGGCTCTGGAAGAAAGCCTCAGGAATCTGTATGACAAATGGCGGCACTCACTGTCTCTCTCTTCGTTAGTGAGGTCCTGTAGCCGGGTCACATGGCGTCGCGGGAGGAGGAGTGTCTGAAACGGCCAAACTGCCCAATAAGGAACAAGCACCAGCCAGTGCTCATTGGCCAGCACCAGGCGTTCCTAGAGAGATAAGAATGGCAATGAGTTCATTTAAATCCAGCTACAAAGCACTGTATAATTAACCCCTTCAGCTGGCTGCTGCTCTGGCATTTATTGGGTTAAATGGTTCAATAAGGGCATAGTGGAGGCTGGCCTTGGGTATCATTCTGTAATAGTGCCAAGCTGCTTTCAAACTGTGTGTGTTTTCAATTGTGATGTTCATTATTACTCCGGCCTACCAGAGGCGTCTAACAGGGAGTAGGAACTCAGCCTAACTTACTGTTTATGATTCAATTGGAAATGAGGAAAACGCTGCGTAAAGGGAGCTATAAGAGAGGCCCCCAGATCTGTTTCCATAAAGAAACCTTTAACAAAATTAACATTCCTGTAAAACGTCAGCACATACCATGACTTCCATTTAATATTATATTCATTACATTCATTACCTGAGTATTACACTCACTACAACACTCCACACATCTGTTACCTCAGTATTACACCCACTACAACACTCCTCAAATCTGTTCCCTCAGTATTACACTCACTACAACACTCCACACATCTGTTACCTCAGTATTACACTCACTACAACACTCCTCACATCTGTTACCTCAGTATTACACCCACTAAAACACTCCTCACATCTGTTACCTCAGTATTACACCCACTAAAACACTCCTCACATCTGTTACCTCAGTATTACACTCACTACAACACTCCTCACATCTGTTACCTCAGTATTACACCCACTACAACACTCCTCACATCTGTTACCTCAGTATTACACTCACTACAACACTCCTCACATCTGTTACCTCAGTATTACACTCACTACAACACTCCACACATCTGTTACCTCAGTATTACACCCACTAAAACACTCCTCACATCTGTTACCTCAGTATTACACTCACTACAACACTCCTCACATCTGTTACCTCAGTATTACACCCACTAAAACACTCCACACATCTGTTACCTCAGTATTACACCCACTAAAACACTCCTCACATCTGTTACCTCAGTATTACACCCACTAAAACACTCCTCACATCTGTTACCTCAGTTACCTCAGTATTACACTCACTACAACACTCCTCACATCTGTTACCTCAGTATTACACTCACTACAACACTCCTCACATCTGTTACCTCAGTATTACACTCACTACAACACTCCTCACATCTGTTACCTCAGTATTACACTCACTACAACACTCCTCACATCTGTTACCTCAGTATTACACTCACTACAACACTCCACACATCTGTTACCTCAGTATTACACTCACTACAACACTCCTCAAATCTGTTACCTCAGTATTACACTCACTACAACACTCCTCACATCTGTTACCTCAGTATTACACTCACTACAACACTCCTCACATCTGTTACCTCAGTATTACACCCACTAAAACACTCCTCACATCTGTTACCTCAGTATTACACCCACTAAAACACTCCTCACATCTGTTACCTCAGTATTACACCCACTAAAACACTCCTCACATCTGTTACCTCAGTATTACACTCACTACAACACTCCTCACATCTGTTACCTCAGTATTACACCCACTAAAACACTCCTCACATCTGTTACCTCAGTATTACACCCACTAAAACACTCCTCACATCTGTTACCTCAGTATTACACTAACTACAACACTCCACACATCTGTTACCTCAGTATTACACTCACTACAACACTCCTCAAATCTGTTCCCTCAGTATTACACCCACTACTACAACACTCCTCAAATCTGTTCCCTCAGTATTACACTCACTACAACACTCCACACATCTGTTCCCTCAGTATTACACTCACTACAACACTCCTCAAATCTGTTCCCTCAGTATTACACTCACTACAACACTCCACACATCTGTTCCCTCAGTATTACACTCACTACAACACTCCTCACATCTGTTACCTCAGTATTACACTCACTACAACACTCCACACATCTGTTACCTCAGTATTACACTCACTACAACACTCCTCAAATCTGTTACCTCAGTATTACACTCACTACAACACTCCTCACATCTGTTACCTCAGTATTACACTCACTACAACACTCCTCACATCTGTTACCTCCGTATTGCACTCACTACAACACTCCTCACATCTGTTACCTCAGTATTACACTCACTACAACACTCCACACATCTGTTACCTCAGTATTACACTCATTACAACACTCCTCACATCTGTTACCTCAGTATTACACTCACTACAACACTCCACACATCTGTACCTCAGTATTACACTCACTACAGCACTCCTCCCATCTATTTACCTCAGTATTACACTCACTACAACCTCCTCCCACATCTGTTACCTCAATTATTACCTCACTACAACCTCCCACACATCTATTTACCTCAGTATTACACTCACTACAACACTCCTCACATCTGTTACCTCAGTATTGCACTCACTACAACACTCCTCACATCTGTTACCTCAGTATTACACTCACTACAACACTCCTCACATCTGTTACCTCAGTATTACACTCACTACAACACTCATCACATCTGTTACCTCAGTATTACACTCACTACAACACTCCTCACATCTGTTACCTCAGTATTACACTCACTACAACACTCCTCACATCTGTTACCTCAGTATTACACTCACTACAACACTCCACACATCTGTTACCTCAGTATTACACTCACTACAACACTCCTCACATCTGTTACCTCAGTGTAGCGGATAGCACCAGGCGACCCTACAAATATACTGTTTTTACCTGCATTCGTGTATCTGCTGTATTTTCTATGTATTAAAAAGAATTGTATTCCTCTGGGTGTTCGGTAGTTTCATTCCCTTAGTTTATTCGAATGAAACTACCGAACAACCAGACCTCCCCTGTGTGAAGTGTGTCCTCAATTACCCATTGCAACATTGTTGCGAACGGGTAATTGAATAGTAAGTAGCCGTCCTTTGTTCTCGGGGGTGGCCGCCATTCGACAAACGAACACATGTGGCGGCGGCCATTTTAAAACTCCCGAACAGCGGTGTTTTGCAGTCGAGTGTCTGGAACTAAAATCGGACACTCGAGTAGGCGAACACCGCTGAGACCTCCACAACCCTGGTCCGTTCGGTTCCAAACTACCGAACGGCCCCTCGTTCGGTAGATAGAAAATACCGAACGAGGGGATTCAGGCGAACCCTCCCTAGCCTCTATAGCTAGAGGCTTTCGTGTATTTTGTTCCTTTATGCCAGGACCGACCGCAGGGTCCATTCGCATGGAACCTTATTCGGCTATATCAGTTAGTGCGGTCGGTCATTTTATTCCCTCCATACATTTCCGTACAATCTGGGTGATTTTTGGATATGTTGTTCACCCAGATCAGGGGTATCCGGGGATGTAGGATTTAAAGAGGTACCCCTACGTTTAGGGGTACATCCAGAAACGGGGGGAATTGGTGTGCTGGATAAGGGGATTATGATGCTGGCTGAGGGGAGGAGATGTGTGGGAGGTTACCAGGACAGGATTGGCTAGTGTAATAATTACTGTAAATCCCTCCCTTGCATGGGAGCATGCTTTATAAGGAGACTGTGATTAAAGGCTAGTCAGTTATGCTCCTGAAACTGTGTGTCGTCCAGTTATTGGGATTGCTGTTGGGATATTGCTGTATTTTACCTGCTGGAAGCCTTGCCTGTGGATTTACTATTTACTTGTTCCTGAGTCCCACTTGGATTATAAGCGGAGATACCCTGGGTAAATATTGCATCTCCGCTACATTGGTTGGCAGCGCTGGGATCCAAACTCACAGAGGAACAAGCCTAAATGGAGTACGGATGGAGATTGATTTTGCCACACTAAAACGCTCCACGCTAAAAGACCTTCTGGAGGCAAGGGGTATACAAGCCAGCAATAAGACAAAAGCGGTACTCGTTACTGAACTGATGGCGGAGTACCGAATAGACGGCGATTCGGTTCCCGAACAGGGGAATTCGGGAGAGACACCGGAACAAAGGGAGTTCCAGAGGCAGGTACAATTTCGGCTGTCTTTCTATGGGGAACACCCTCCAACAGAGATTGTGTCAAAAACGATGACGGAGGTCCAGGAATTTATACTGAGGAGTCAAACTGCGGCCCCAGAACGCAGCTCTGCAATAAATATGCCACAGGAAGGTAAGCCTAAAATACCGTACCAGGCTTTTAAAACATATGTGGAGGCAGAGGAAGATATAGACGCTTTCCTGCAGGATTTTGAGAGACTGTGTGCACTGCATAGAATCAGCGCAGAGGACTGGGTACCTATTTTGGCAGGGAGGTTAACTGGGAGGGCAGCTGAGGCATACCGTACTGTGCCTAATGAAGAAATACGGAATTACAATAAAGTGAAAGAAATTATATTGGCCAGGTATGCTATAACACCAGAAGCATACCGGCGGAGATTCAGGGATATAAAGAAGGTGGAGAAAGACTCACACGCAGAGTGGGCATGCAGACTACAACGAGCAGTCTTGGGGTGGGTGCAAGCGAGCAAGGCACGGTCTATGGAGGATGTATTGCAAATGGTACTACTGGAGCAATTTTATGAAAGGAGTAACCAGCGAGGTACAGGAGTGGGTAAGAGACAGAAACCCTACCTCCCTTACCGAAGCAGCCAGGAAGGCAGACGAGTACCTGGATGCACGCAGGCAGCAAAAACCGGCAGCTCCAAAAGTACCTTTTAAAACCTTTGGGGGGAACAACTACACGCCAGCTTTACCAAGACCACTGCCACCACCCCCACCGCCCGCTGCACAGCCACGTTTCCGCCAGCCCACGTCGGGCCCGTGCCACCACTGCCAGAAATGGGGACACTATAAAAGGGAATGCCCCCAGCTGCGGGACCGTTCCACCTGGATTCGCCCCGGCCCACCACCACCACCGAGAGCAGCCGCAGCCCACCACTACCAGGACATCGTGGCCACACCGTATGGTTCAGCAGTTCCCATCACAACGGTAGAACAGTGGGAGGTACTGCACGAGGCGGATCCCGTCCAGGCTAATGCTGACAACCGCCAGCATCACAGGCAGACCGTGTATCTGGAGGGTAAAGCGGTTCAGGGGCTACGTGACTCAGGAGCCACCATCACCCTGGTAAAAAGCCATCTAGTCTCAGACCAGGCTAAACTAAATAAGACTGTGGCCGTCAGGGTAGCCGGGGGAGCGGTATATCGGCTACCTACAGCAAGGGTACATTTGCATTGGGGAGCGGGGGCAGAGCATGTGGAGGTGGGGTTGATGCCGCAGTTACCGGCGGAGGTTTTGTTGGGGAACGATCTGGGGAGGCTCACATCTGCTTTTGAGCCCCAGACATCCACCACAGGAGAAGCTCACCCTGTGGTTACGCGACAACAGGCCCGCACCCAGGACTACAACACACTCCCGGAGGTTCAGGTAAGAGATCCTTCCCCTTCCCTTGACTGTGTTCCCTGGGCCCCTCCTAACAAATTTGCAGCTGAAGTAGTGACTGACCCCACCTTGCAGGTGTATAGGGACAAGGTGACAGCAGACACTCCTGGGGGGGAGGGCGAAAGGTTTATTTGGGACAAACAGCTGCTATATCGGGAGACGGATAAGAAGGTATCCGGGTCAGACCCGATTGTGATGAGGCAGTTAGTGGTACCTCAGCGGTACCGGGCGGAGTTACTACGGATAGCACATGACATTCCGCTATCTGGACATTTAGGGGTCAGCAGGACCCGATACAGGTTGACCCAAAGTTTCTTTTGGCCGGGGATTAGCCAGGAGGTGCGCAGATATTGCAACACGTGCGATACCTGTCAAAGGGTGGGGAAAAGGGGGGACCGGCGCAAGGCCAAGTTACATCCCCTTCCCATAATCGAGGAACCCTTTAGCAGGGTAGCAGTTGACCTAATAGGACCCCTCAACAAAGCAAGCCCGTCAGGTAAAAGATTTATCCTGACAGTAGTAGATTATGCCACTAGATATCCAGAGGCGGTGGCCCTGACGAATATACAGGCGGAGACAGTAGCAGAAGCCCTGATGAAGATATTCTCCCGGGTGGGACTCCCCAGGGAGATTGTCTCCGATCAGGGCACCCAATTCACCGCCGAAGTCACGCAGCGCCTCTGGAAGTTTTGTGACATTAAGCCGGTCATTAGTTCACCTTACCACCCCCAGACGAATGGGCTCTGCGAACGTTTCAACAGTACATTGAAACAAATGCTCCGAACCTTCGCAGAGACCCACAAGGACTGGGAGAAGTTCCTGCCACACCTCCTCTTTGCTTACAGGGAGGTGCCGCAGGAATCCACTGGGTTTTCCCCATTTGAACTATTGTTTGGCCGCAGGGTACGAGGGCCTTTAGATTTGATCAGAGAGCATTGGGAGGGAGAACGGAGCACTGACGGTACCCCCATCATACCATATGTGTTGGCATTCCGAGACCCCTTGAGGCCTTAACTCAGACGGTACGCGAGAATTTGCAGGCGGCTCAGACACGCCAGCGCACATGGTATGATCGGGGCGCCAGGGACCGTAGCTTTCAGGTCGGGCAGAAGGTGTTGATCTTAAAACCTGTCCGACACGATAAGCTGCAGGCCGCCTGGCAGGGCCCTTATAAGGTGGTAGAACAACGATGTGACACCACTTATATAATCGGCTCGTGCGTTGGTACTGGGGGGCGACGCATGCTCCATGTAAACATGATGAAGCCCTACCAGGAGCGCTCTGAGGAAGTGACCGCTATATGTGCGCCTAACTCCGAGGAGTTTGACAGTTTACCTCTCCCGGATCTGCTGGGAGAGGGTCAGTTATCCGGGGACTTAGGGGAAGTCACCCTGGGGGATCGGTTGAGCCCACAGGAGCGGAGCGAGGTACAACAGCTGTTGAGGGAGAAGCAGGATATCTTCTCTAATGTACCTGGTTACACTCCTCTGGCCACTCACAGAGTAGACACCCCAGGGCAACTTCCCATGCGTCAGACCCCGTACCGCATCCCAGAAGCGGTACGGGCGAACATGCGCAAGGAGATCGATGAGATGCTCCAGCTGGGGGTGATTGAGCCCTCCGACAGCCCCTGGGCATCTCCGGTAGTACTAGTACCAAAGCGGGACGGCACGACCCGGTTTTGTGTAGACTACCGGAGATTAAATGAGAAGACGGTATCTGACGCCTATCCCCATGCCCAGGATAGACGAACTCCTGGATCGGATGGCGAGGGGGCACTATCTCACCACGATTGACTTGTGTAAAGGGTATTGGCAAATACCCTTGGCGCAAGACGCCATCCCTAAGTCGGCCTTTGTCACCCCATTCGGCTTGTACCAATTTAAGGTCATGCCGTTTGGGATGAAAAACGCCCCGGCTACTTTTCAGCGGATGGTGGACCGCCTCCTGGATGGGTTCCAGGAGTATACCTGCGCATACCTCGATGATATTGCCATTTTCAGCAATACCTGGCAGGAACACCTGACCCATATAGGAGCGGTCCTAGACAGGATTAGGGCCGCTGGTTTAACACTGAAACCAGCCAAATGCAGCATAGGCATGGCTGAAGTACAGTACCTAGGTCATCGGGTAGGATGCGGCAAGCAAAAGCCGGAACCAGCCAAAGTAGAGGCTGTAGCTCAATGGCCTACCCCTAGGACTAAGACTCAGGTGTTAGCGTTCCTAGGAACGGCCGGATACTACCGGAAATTTGTCCCGAATTACAGTGCCCTGGCCAAACCTCTCACCGACTTGACCCGTAAAAACCTACCCCCGCCAAGTAGAAATGAAAAAAAGTGTAGGAAGGGAAGGCACCTGGATACCAAGGTCCCAGCTTGGAGTGTGTCGAACTTTCTAGGGGGTAACCCTTGTATATATACAGTATAGGTGAGTGATCCTGGGCTAAAATAGCAACAGGAGCTCTTAGAGGAAAGTTCTGCAGTTGTATGCTAATATGAGATAATGTCTATAAAATAGTTTTATTGGAAAGGGTCTACTCAAAGGTATGATCCCTAATAAAAGAGACAATAGCAAATGAAACTTAATACACCATAACCACTAAAATGTAATTATATACATGAGGAGTGATGGGTGATGGGTGTTTAGGGGTCTTTGCTGCTCAATTACAATATCGTGGGTATAGCCACTCTCTTTTCAGCTCTCTTTCTAGATTCAGAGATGGAGTCCATCACTCCTCATGTATATAATTACATTTTAGTGGTTATGGTGTATTAAGTTTCATTTGCTATTGTCTCTTTTATTAGGGATCATACCTTTGAGTAGACCCTTTCCAATAAAGCTATTTTATAGACATTATCTCATATTAGCATACAACTGCAGAACTTTCCTCTAAGAGTTCCTGTTGCTATTTTAGCCCAGGATCACTCACCTTTTTTTCTCTCTACCCCCGCCAAGTAACCTGGACCCTGGAGTGTGAACAGGCATTTCAGTTGTTGAAAGATGCATTGACAAATGCCCCTGTCTTGGCAGCTCCCAATCCAACTAAACGTTTTCTTGTCCACACAGACGCTTCTATGTTTGGATTGGGAGCAGTATTGAGCCAAGTCGGGGCCGATGGCGGAGAACATCCCGTGGCTTACATCAGCCGGAAACTGTTACCTCGAGAAGTAAGCTACGCCGCCATCGAGAAAGAATGCCTGGCTGTGGTGTGGGCCCTGAAGAAATTACAACCATATTTGTACGGACAAGCTTTTTCCCTGCTCACGGATCACAACCCGTTAGTATGGCTAAACCGGGTGGCTGGGTACAATGCCCGGCTGCTGCGCTGGAGTCTGGCGCTGCAGCCCTTTGGCTTTAATATCCAGTACCGCCCGGGTAAACAGAATGGAAATGCTGATGGGTTGTCTCGACAAACTGACCTAGAGAAATGATCCGTGAGCCTCCCCGGACATCCCCAAGCCGATCCGTGTTGGATCAGACTGTGTATGCCGGCTTGTGGGCAAGGGGGAGCAGTGTAGCGGATAGCACCAGGCGACCCTACAAATATACTGTTTTTACCTGCATTCGTGTATCTGCTGTATTTTCTATGTATTAAAAAGAATTGTATTCCTCTGGGTGTTCGGTAGTTTCATTCCCTTAGTTTATTCGAATGAAACTACCGAACAACCAGACCTCCCCTGTGTGAAGTGTGTCCTCAATTACCCATTGCAACATTGTTGCGAACGGGTAATTGAATAGTAAGTAGCCGTCCTTTGTTCTCGGGGGTGGCCGCCATTCGACAAACGAACACGTGGTGGCAGCCATTTTAAAACTCCCGAACAGCAGTGTTTTGCCGTCGAGTGTCTGGAACTAAAATCGGACACTCGAGTAGGCGAACACCGCTGAGACCTCCACAGCCCTGGTCCGTTTTACTATTTACTTGTTCCTGAGTCCCACTTGGATTATAAGCGGAGATAACCTGGGTAATATTGCATCTCCGCTACACTCAGTATTACACCCACTACAACACTCCTCACATCTGTTACCTCAGTATTACACTCACTACAACACTCCACACATCTGTTACCTTCTTCACCATGTGCTCGCAGCTGATTGGTTAGAGATATGTTTTCCCCTACCTTCCGCTCCTCCTCCAGTCTGCCGTACTCCACTAACATAGGGATCCCGTGCTCCCTCAGATATGCTCTCTGGGTCCGGTCTTCTATCTGGGCCTCATTGGGAAGGAAGTTACTGGCCCAAATCTACAGAGAAAAACTAAATGTAATTCTGCACTGTCTGGGGTTAGAGAATGCAATATAGTTACAATAGCTAATTGTATCCACAAAGAAAATGGAGAATTGTTAACCATTTTAATACCAGACTGGCACGCAGTACAAAGTATCTTATAGGACTACATATAAAGAGGACATGGTAGCTCTCCTCTAAGTGACCAGGAGATCAATGACACCCAATCCAATAAAAGTATCTACAAAGGCAGCCCGTATGGGATTAAATAAAGATGATAAAGTCTGACTGGTGAGCACGTGGTCTCAGCTGAAACATCTAGACAGTTACAATAAAAGCTATTCAAACACAGCAAAATACGAAGGAAGCAAAGTTACCAGAAGTTTGTTGAATTCCCAGCAGATGGCAGTATTGAGCTATCGAAGCCTTACCTGGCAGTGTGGATGAGGATTGGAACAGCCCATCATTGCTCCTTTATTTTCAAATATCTACAAATAAAGGGGCAAGTTAGACATCCGCTGTAACTAGCTATTACATGGGATGGTATATTACATATTACATGGGATGGTATATAACATATTACATGGGATGGTATATTACATGGGATGGTATATAACATATTACATGGGATGGTATATTACATGGGATGGTATATAACATATTACATGGGATGGAATATTACATATTACATGGGATGGTATATAACATATTACATGGGATGTATATTACATATTACATGGGATGGTATATTGCATATTACATGGGATGGTATATTGTAGCGGATGGCACTGGGCTGTCCTGGGAATTGTATTGGTTTTGACTGCATTCGTGTAAATGGCAAAGTTATATGTGTTAAATGTATTGTGTTCGTCTGATGTTCGGTAGTTTCATTCCCTTAGTTTGTTCGACTGAAACTACCGAACAGTCAGACCTCCCCTGTGTGAAGTGTGCCTTCAATTACCCGTTGCAACATTGTTGCGAACGGGTAATTGACAAGCTGAGTAGCAGTCCTTTGTTCTCGGGGGTTGCCGCCATTCGGGAAACGAACACGTGGCGGCGGCCATTTTAAAACTCCCGAACAGTGGTGTTTTCCCGTTGAGTGTCTGGAACTCAAATCGGAACTCAAACTACCGAATGGCCCCTCGTTCGGTAGATAGAAACAACCGAACAAGGGGATTCAGGCGAACCCTCCCCAGTCTCTGTAACTAGAGGCTTTCGTGTGATTTATTCCCTTGTTCCAGGACTGACCGCAGGGCCCCATCGCATGGAACCCAATTCGGCTATTCTTTCCAGCGCGGTCGGTCATTTTATTCCCTCCATAAATTTCCCGAACCCCTGGTCTGATCTGGGTGATTTTGGGATATGTTGTTCACCCAGATCAGGGCTACCAGTGGTACCCCCTAGGTTTACTAGTGGTACCCCTAAACCTAGGCTACTAGTGGTACCCCTACGTTTAGGGGTACATCCAGAAACGGGGGGAATTGGTGTCCTGGATAAGGGGATTATGATGCAGGCTGAGGGGAGGGGATGTGGGGGAGGTTACCGGAACAGGATTGGCTACTGTATTAATGAATGGAAATCCCTCCCTTGCATGGGAGCATGCTTTATAAGGCCACTGTCTGAATAAATCTTTAGTTCTGCTCCTGATACTGTGTGTCGTCCAGTTATTGGGAGTGCTGTTGGGATACTACTGCATTGTCTTACCTGCTGGATACCTTGCCTATGGATTTATAATTACTTGTTCCTGAGCCTCACTGGGATCTACAAGTGGAGGTAGGCTATGAAATACTAGCTCTCCGCTACATTGGTTGGCAGCGCTGGAATCCAGAATCACAGAGGAACAAGCACCAATGGAGTACGGATGGAGATTGATTTTTCTACACTAAAACGCTCCACACTAAAGGACCTCCTGGAAGCAAGGGGTATTCAAGCCAGCAACAAAAAGAAAGCGGTACTTATTACCGAACTCATGGCAAAGTACCGAATGGATGGCGGTTCGGTTCGGGAAACACAGGAACAAATGGAGTTCCAGAGACAGTTACAATTTAGGCTGTCTTTTTATGGAAATTATTTCCAAGACCATGACAGAGGTCCAGGAATTCATACTGAGGCAACGGACAACAACAACCCCAGAACACAGCTCTGCAGTAAACATGACACAGGAAGGTAAGCCTAAAATACCATATCAGGCCTTTAAAACGTATGTGGAGGCAGAGGAAGATATAGACGCTTTCCTGCAAGATTTTGAAAGACTGTGTGCACTGCATAGAATCAGCGCAGTGGACTGGGTAACTATTTTGGCAGGATGGTTAACTGGGAGGGCAGCAGAGGCGTATCGTACTGTGCCAGACGAAGAAATCAGGAATTACAGTAGAGTGAAAGAGATTATACTGGCCCGGTATGCTATAACACCAGAGGCATACCGGAGGAGATTCCGGGATTTAAAGAAAGCGGAGAAAGACTTACATGCGGAGTGGGCATGCAGGTTACAATGGGCAGCTCTCGGGTGGGTACAAGCCAGCAAGGCAGGGTCCATGGAGGACGTGATACAAATGCTGCTAATGGAACAATTTTATGATGGGGTGACAACAGATGTCCAGGAGTGGGTAAGGGACCGAAACCCTACATCCCTCACAGAAGCTGCAAGGAAGGCAGATGATTACCTGGACGCACGCAGGCAACAAAAACCCGCAGTTCCAAAAGCAGCATTAAAAACCTTTGGGGGAACCAACTACACCCCAGCACCACCAAGGCAACTACCACCACCCGCTGTACAGCCACATTTTCGCCAGCCGAGCTCTGGGCCCTGTCATCACTGCCAGAAATGGGGGCATTATATACGGGAATGTCCACAACTGCGGGATCGTTCCACCTGGATCCGACCAGGCCCGCCACCACCACATAATTGCAACACCATATGGTTCAGCAGTACCCATTACCACCGTGGAACATGAAACATGAACATGAAATACTAGGTCTCCGCTACATATATTACATGGGATGGTATGTTACATATTACATGGGATGGTATGTTACATATTACATGGGATGGTATGTTACATATTACATGGGATGGTATATTACATGGGATGGTATATTACATGGGATGGTATATAACATGGGATGGTATATAACATATTACATGGGATGGTATATTACATATTACATGGGATGGTATATAACATATTACATGGGATGGTATATAACATATTATATGGGATGGTATATTACATGGGATGGTATATAACATATTACATGGGATGGTATATAACATATTACATGGGATGTTATATTACATATTACATGGGATGGTATATAACATATTACATGGGATGTTATATTACATATTACATGGGATGGTATATTACATATTACATGGGATGGTATATTACATATTACATGGTGTAACGGACCGTTTTGCACACAAGGGGTAAAAACCATTTAGATCGTCCCCCTTTCCAGAGATGCAGGTACAGCTATTGTATAACACCAAACTCACGAAGCGCCAATAAGGGAATGCTCCAAACTCCCGAACGGCATCCAATATAGCACTCCAAACACGCGAACTGGAACCATACGAATCACTGCTAGCAGACGAATAGGAAAAGCATCCAAGCGGCTTACACTCCTAGCAATCAGTCTCTATCAGCATTCAGTAAATCCCCCCAAAGACGAGACAAGGCTCCGTGTTGAGAGTCAAGAAGTGATCTGTTTAATGAGGGCTACCTGCCCAGTATTTATGCAGGTCTCCTACAGGTGGACACTCCACTAGGGGACCAAATGGGAGACTGTGACAAGGGACAGACAAGTAGACAAATAGGACACACAGTCCCATTGTATTCCCACAATGCATCCTGGCTTCCTCCCCTCTGCCTTGGAGATAATTGAGAAGTAATTCAATTATCTCCCAAGACAAAGGCAAATCGCCATTATGCACGTGGGGATACTAACACACGAATTACTATTAAAATACACCATGTGAGACACATAACATTAAAAGCATACATTTAACAAATCCCCAGATAGCTCAGGTCTGAGCACACATTATTAAGCGAATGGCGCTCAGACCACACGAATACAGTTTAATCGCCATGGAGCTAAAGTCTCTACACAGTCAGTTTCATGCGAATGGGCTCCATGGGATTCCTATCTGGGGTATAACATATTCCAGTAAAACTACCAAACGCCGGGCCGTTCGTGCACTTTCACCGACCAAGAAGGGAGGTCGGCGGCTTCAGCGGTGTTCGCGCAAAACTGTGTCCGAGTTTAGTTCCAGGAATTAAACGTTGAACACCGCTGTGCATTCACATGTTTAAAATGGCCGCGACCTCGTGTTCGTGATACGAATGGTGGCCACCCAGCATTCGTCAATTAAGCTGCGGTTAACCGCAGCTTCAGGGAGGCTAATTGCCGGCACACTCCAGCTCCCAGGTGGTCCAGTCATTCGTGCGGTTGTTCGGTAGATTGAAGCTACCGAACACCAGGCAGAAAAGCACAAATAAATCTTTTCTGCAGACGAAACAAAGTCTTTTAACATGGGGCCATAGTCCAAAGGCAGCAGGTGAGCAACCAGGCTTCTCCAATGCAATATGGCGAAATTGCTCGTCACATCTCTCCACTTTTCCAAACAGACTAACAGGGCATCTGACCTCCTGCCGGTCAGTGCCCTTGTTAGTCCAGCAGCCCACCCACAAAACACAATCAACAGCATAGCCCACCCACAATAAATGGTTACTACACCTGGGTAGAGGAGAAGCTTGTCCATGTCCAGGTGTCTCACCACGGCTGTGCTGGGTACGGGTATGCTGACTTGGTGGGTTGCTGCGTGGGCAGAGACCAGCGGTACTCTGCCCTGTTGCCAGGAGGGTAGCCTGGTTGAAGCCTGGTTGTTGGAGGGGGAGACCGACTGTCTCCCCTTTAGATACACAGCCCTGCTGCTGGAGACCGACTGTCTCCCCTTTAGACACACAGCTCTGCTGCTGGAGACCGACTGTCTCCCCTTTGGACACACAGCTCTGCTGCTGGAGACCAACTGTCTCCCCTTTGGCTAAACAGCCCTGTCGCTGGGGGGCAGAACCGACCGTCCCTACCCCCTGTGCTGGACGTGCAGAGACCACGGTCCCATCTGCACAGTTGTGGGGCTTACTGTCTCCCCCTGGTACATTAAGCTGCTGCTGCTGGGGAGAGGGGGTAACAAGCTCCTCTCCCATATATACTTCCAGCTGTGGGGGAGGGAGACCGACTCTCTCTGCTCCCAATACAGAGTCCTACTGCCACTCTGCCACTGGGGAATGGAGACTGGGCTCCCAATTCCCAATAAATCATTCTGCCGTTGGGGAATGGAGACTGGGCTCCCAATTCCCTACAATTCATTCTGCTGCTGGGGGACAGGAGCAACTATCTCTGTCCCCTGTAACTCAGCCTGCCGCTGGGGAATGGAGACTGGGCTCCCAATTCCCTGCAATTCACACTGCCGCTGAGGATCTGAGCCGACTGCCCAGCATCCCTGTAGCTCACCCTGCCGCTGGGGAGGGAGGACGCTGCTCTCCTCTCCCTGCAAGGAACACTGCCGCTGGGGGACAGGACCACCTGTCTCTGCCCCCTGTAACTCAGCCTGCCGCTGGGGAATGGAGCTTGGGCTCCCAATTCCCTGCAATATCTCCTGCTGGGGAATGGAGCTTGGGCTCCCAATTCCCTGCAATATCGGTGGAGAGACCTCGGTCCCATCTCCACCCGCCACCTGGGGTTCTTCCCAGTAAATCTCAACAATGTCTTCACAGCTGAATGGGTCTGGAACTGGATCTGTCACCTTGCTGTCCTGCTGAGCCTTCTCAATGGAGTGGAAGAGATCTCGGTAGTCCTGCTCCAGTTCCCACTCCAGGGTTGCTAGGTGAGCGTCGTCCCAGTCATACCTGCTCTCCCTCCACTCCAAGAGATCACTGAACCGGGCTTGTGTAGGGCTCCCAAATTCAGGCTCTGAAAAAGCCTCCCATAACAAGCCAGGACCATCAAACTCCTCTCCCTCTGTCTTGTCATGCTCGGCTGTCCAGGGCAGGTACTGTGCCCCATACCACCAGAGCGCCTGGTAGGCATCTTCCAGCCAAATCTCCTGCCATACCCGGTGCTCCAATTCCTTCACCCATTCATCCAGGGGCTGCTCTCCCAGGAAGGGCATCCGTAGGGCCACTTGCTTCTGCAACCGCTGCTCTTCACTGGGGAGACTCTCGCCCCGCTGGTATTGTACATTATCCAGGGGCTGGTACCAGATGCCTTTCCTTAATGCATCCCGGCCATCCAGGTACTCCTCCTCGAATGACACTGCTGGTTCCATTCTGTTGCTGTCAGGGTCGCTGTACTCAGACATGCGTTGCCCTCAAATTGTAAATCCACGGAATGGTGTCGCCTTTAGCTGTCCTGTTGTCTGTGGGAACGATCCCGCCGCTTGCCACCAATTGTAACGGACCGTTTTGCACACAAGGGGTAAAAACCGTTTAGGCGATCGTCCCCCTTTCCAGAGATGGAGGCACAGCTACTGTAAAACACCAAACTCACGAAGCACCAATAAGGGAATGTTCCAAACTAACGAACGGCATCCAATATAGCATTCCAAACACACAAACTGGAACCATACGAATCACTGCTAGCAGACGAATAGGAAAAGCATCCAAGCGGCTTACACTCCTAGCAATCAGTCTCTATCAGCATTCAGTAAATCCCCGCAAAGACGAGACAAGGCTCCGTGTTGAGGGTCAAGCAGTGATCTGTTTAATGAGGGCTACCTGCCCAGTATTTATGCAGGTCTCCCACCTGGTGGACACTCCCCTAGGGGACCAAATGGGAGACTGTGACAAGGGACAGACAAGTAGACAAATAGGACACACAGTCACATTGTATTACCACAATGCATCCTGGCTTCCTCCCCTCTGCCTTGGAGATAATTGAGAAGTAATTCAATTATCTCCCAAGACAAAGGCAAATCGCCATTATGCACGTGGGGATACTAACACACGAATTACTATTAAAATACACCATGTGAGACACATAACATTAAAAGCATACATTTAACATATCCCCAGATAGCTCAGGTCTGAGCACACATTATTAAGCGAATGGCGCTAAGACCACACGAATACAGTTTAATCGCCATGGAGCTAAAGTCTTTACACAGTCAGTTTCATGCGAATGGGCTCCATGGGATTCCTATCTGGGGTATAACATATTCCAGTAATACTACCGAACGCCGGGCCGTTCGTGCACTTTAACAGACCAAGAAGGGAGGTCGGCGGCTTCAGCGGTGTTCGCGCAAAACTGTGTCCGAGTTTAGTTCCAGGAATTAAGCATTGAACACCGCTGTGCATTCGCATGTTTAAAATGGCCGCGACCTCGTGTTCGTGATACGAATGGCGGCCACCCAGCATTCGTCAATTAAGCTGCGGTTAACCGCAGCTTCAGGGAGGCTAATTGCCGGCACACTCCAGCTCCGAGGTGGTCCAGTCATTCGTGCGGTTGTTCGGTAGATTGAATCTACCGAACACCAGGCAGAAAAGCATGAATAAATCTTTTCTGCAGACGAAACAAAGTCTTTTAACATGGGGCCATAGTCCAAAGGCAGCAGGCAAGCAACCAGGCTTCTCCAATGCAATGTGGCGAGATTGCTCTCGTCACACATGGGATGGTATATAACATTTTACATGGGATGGTATATTACATATTATATGGGATGGTATATTACATATTACATGGGATGGTATATTACATGGGATAGTATATTACATGGGATGGTATATTACATATTATATGGGTCCCATGGTACATATCACCCTCTACATTACAGGATTAGGCCAGATGCTGCGGACTGTATCTTCCCTGATTCTTTAACCAGCAAAATGACTGTAAGAGCATTCTGGGAGTTGCCGAAGGTTGCCTACCTACCCCTGCTCTAGTACCTTCTTTTTACTGTCATGTCAGTAGCTCACTCCTCCTCTTCTCCAGGTTATACCTAAAGTCTGAAAGAGCCCATACCGAACGGAGAAACCATCTTACTGCACACGGGGCCGCTCGGACTGGGAAACCATCTTACTGCACACGGGGCCGCTTGGACTGGGAAACCATCTTACTGCACACGGGGCTGCTTGGACTGGGAAACCATCTTACTGCACACGGGGCCGCTTGTACTGGGAAACCATCTTGCTGCACACGGGGCTGCTTGGACTGGGAAGCCATCTTACTACACACTGGGCTGCTTGGACTGGGAAACAATCTTGCTGCACACGGGGCCGCTCGGACTGGGAAACCATCTTACTGCACACTGAGCCGCTCGGACTGGGAAACAATCTTGCTGCACACGGGGCCGCTCGGACTGGGAAACCACCTTACTGCACACGGGGCCCCTCGGACTGGGAAACAATCTTGCTGCACACGGGGCTGCTCGGACTGCGAAACCCAGACATTGTTCAAGCTATATAGCAGGCTCTGAAGTGAAATCTCTAATTCTAATTATGAAGGCTTTCTCCGCCTTGTACCCTCCCTCAGCAGGGAGTACTCACCGGGGAAAGATAGATTTTTTTTTTAATTCTGTTGCGGTTTTGAATTTCTCTGGTGGGTTATCATAGGATTTTGGTATTTATTTGCTCTTTTTTGGCTTACGATAAGATTATTTACAAGAAAGAAGACAAGTATAATTTAATCATTTAATACAGGTATTAGTTTTAATGTCACCCCACCTCACTGGCGGCTAAGTGGGGGGACAAGATCAGCCCCATAATATATTTCGAGCCCACACCCGCAACTCTTTAGTGGAGGTTGGGATGTGGAGTTAGCACCCTTTCCCCCCAGTATATCAGTATTAGAGCCTGCACTTGCTATCAATAGGTGGGAGCTGAGATGTGAACATTAGGTCCCTTGCTTAATATTAGAACAGCCCCCAACTGCCACTAAAGTGTGGGGGCTGCTGGTGAGACAATAAGCTTCCCTTTTGGTTAAAGATTTAGTAGATATGCCCCCACCTGACAAAGGGAGGTTTGAACCCTCCATTAACATAACATGATCTTATTAGGACTTTTCATTTCATTTTATAACTTTTTTAATGAGGCAGCTGACGGGCCACCTCGCATGAAACGCACCCAGTCTAAGGTATCAGAACAAATAACTGCTCTTAGTAGCCAACTACTTTACTTTTAACAGTTACACAATATTACAATATTTTCTCTTTTTCCCCCTAATAAGTTGATCGAAAAAAACTGTAATCAGTTATTTTGTTGATGCAGCTCCCTTACTCAATGTTCATGGACAGATGGGTCACTTTCAAGCAAGGAAGAAGGTATTTCATTATATTTCTATTTTGTTCTTTTTAGAAATAATTTTGAATTAATTAATGTGAAATGAACATGCAATCTCACCTGAACCCAGGGATAAGTGGCCCCTAAATCCTTCATAATCTCTGTCAATTTATCAATCACAGCTCGGACCTCCGGTGAGGACATCAGTGGCAGCGTGACATCGGACCATGGGTGGAAACACATAACCTGGCTGAGGACAAGTGAAATAAATAGACCATCGAGGCTGAGGCTTCCTTTAAAAAGAGGTTTGAGATTACATTTTAAGAGTAAAATCACAGGGACGTGCTTATTATTTATTAATCTGTAATATATTCAGATAACAGAACATGCTCTGCTTCCTCTGCCTGTGTCCCCTGTTACACTGGGAATCCCTGATAATAATACATTAAGAGACAATTACCAGACCCCTCGCGCAGATTTTGCCTGGAGCAATGGGTGTTCACTGGGACCTGAAAATGAGAAAAAAAGGCAGAGATCTAATAACTGGCCACCGTGAGGACAATCAGTGAATACTTCATATCTGAGTACCGGGTACCGAGTGCCAGGAAAGGTCAGGATGACATTCTGATCATGGCACCTGTAATAAGTCATCCTTTCCTGTGTACTCAGAGCAGCGCTCAGTGAGCAGGGAAACCCGGCTTCATTCATCTACATAGGCCCATAAATATCCAGTGTAAACCAACTGAGTCAAACTGACATCTGGCTATGTACCAACCACACTAACACTGCATCAACACCTGGCTGTGTACTCACTGCACTAACACTGCATCCTCACCTGGCTGTGTACTCACTGCGCTAACACTGCATCCTCACCTGGCTGTGTACTCACTACGCTAACACTGCATCCTCACCTGGCTGTGTACTCAATGCACTAACACTGTATCCTCACCTGGCTGTGTACCCACTGCACTAACACTGCATCCTCATCTGGCTATGTACCAACCACACTAACACTGCATCCCCATCTGGCTATGTACCAACCACGCTAACACTGCATCAACACCTGGCTGTGTACTCACTATGCTAACACTGCATCCTCACCTGGCTGTGTACTCACCGCACTAACACTGCATCCTCATCTGGCTATGTACCAACCACGCTAACACTGCATCAACACCTGGCTGTGTACTCACTATGCTAACACTGCATCCTCACCTGGCTGTGTACTCACCGCACTAACACTGCATCCTCACCTGGCTGTGTACTCACTGCACTAACACTGCATCCTCACTGCACTAACACTGCATCCTCACCTGGCTGTGTACTCACTGCGCTAACACCGCATCCTCACCTGGCTGCGTACTCACTGCGCTAACACCGCATCCTCACCTGGCTGCGTACTCACTGTGCTAACACTGCATCCTCACCTGGCTATGTACCAACCGCACTAACACTGCATCCTCATCTGGCTATGTACCAACCACACGAACACTGCATTCTCTTCTGGCTATGTACCAACCACACTAACACTGCATCCCCACCTGGCTATGTACCAACCACACTAACATTGCATTAACACCTGGCTGTGTACTCACTACACTAACACTGCATCCTCACCTGGCTGTGTATTGGTATCCACCAATAAAGGACAGTACAAAGTCTGCCCTGTGCTATTTCAATACAGCCAATGTTAAATGAGGACAGAACCCAGCAAGACATTCACAGCCATTGTGTATAAATATAGACTGTGATTTACAGAGAGAGATGGAGCAATGTTGGAGCGCAGAGGATTAAGGTAAGCAAATAAATGGTTAATTAACCATTTATTTGACGTGGAACGGTGACTAGGGCTGTGTACTCACTGCACTAACACTGCATCCTCACCTGGCTGTGTACTCACTGCGCTAAAACTGCATCCTCACCTGGCTGTGTACTCACTATGTTAACACTGCATCCTCACCTGGCTGTGTTCTCACTACGCTAACACTGCATCCTCAACTGGCTGTGTACTCACTACGCTAACACTGCATCCTCAACTGGCTGTGTACTCACTACGCTAACACTGCATCCTCATCTGGCTATGTACTCACTGCACTAACAATGCATCCTCACCTGGCTGTGTACTCACTACGCTAACTCTGCCTCCTCACCTGGCTGTGTACTCACTGCACTAACACTGCATCCTCCCCTGGCTGTGTACTCACTGCACTAACACTGCATCCTCCCCTGGCTGTGTACTCACTGCACTAACACTGCATCCTCCCCTGGCTGTGTACTGCATCCTCATCTGGCTATGCACCAACCACACTAACACTGCATCCTCACCTGGCTGTGTACTCACTGCACTAACACTGCATCCTCACTGCACTAACACTTCATCCTCACCTGGCTGTGTACTCACTGCACTAACACTGCATCCTCACCTGGCTGTGTACTCACTACGCTAACACTGCATCCTCACTTGGCTGTGTACTCACTACGCTAACACTGCATCCTCACTTGGCTGTGTACTCACTGCACTAACACTGCATCCTCCCCTGGCTGTGTACTCACTGCACTAACACTGCATCCTCCCCTGGCTGTGTACTCACTGCACTAACACTGCATCCTCCCCTGGCTGTGTACTCACTGCACTAACACTGCATCCTCACCTGGCTGTGTACTGTATCTCATTCTGCTAAGTGTACCAAATTCACACTAACACTGTATCTCACCTGGCTGTGTGTATCACTGCACTAACACTGCATCCTCACTGCACTAACACTGCATCTCACCTGGCTGTGTACCTTCACTGCACTAAATACCTCATCTCTCACTGGCTGTGTGTACTACTACGCACAGTGCATCCTCACTTGGCTGTGTACTACTACGCAATACTGCATCCTCACTTGGCTGTGTACTACTGCACCAATACTGCATCCCTCCCCCGGCTGTGCACTCACGCACTAACACTGCATCCTCCCCGTGGCTGTGTACTACCGCACCAACACCGCATCCTCTCACCTGGCTGTGTACTCACTGCACTAACACTGCATCCTCACTGCACTAACACTGCATCCTCACCTGGCTGTGTACTCACTGCACTAACACTGCATCCTCACCTGGCTATGTACTCACTACGCTAACACTGCATCCTCACTTGGCTGTGTACTCACTACGCTAACAATGCATCCTCACTTGGCTGTGTACTCACTACGCTAACACTGCATCCTCATCTGGCTATGTACTCACTGCACTAACAATGCATCCTCACCTGGCTGTGTACTCACTGCACTAACACTGCATCCTCACCTGGCTGTGTACTCACTACGCTAACACTGCATCCTCACCTGGCTGTGTACTCACTGCACTAACACTGTATCCTCACCTGGCTATTTACTCACTATACTAACTCTGCGTCCTCACCTGGCTGTGTACTCACTGCGCTAACACTGCATCCTCACGTGGCTGTGTACTCACTACGCTAACACTGCATCCTCACCTGGCTGTGTACTCACTATACTAACTCTGCGTCCTCACCTGGCTGTGTACGCACTATACTAACTCTGCGTCCTCACCTGGCTGTGTACTCACTATACTAACTCTGCGTCCTCACCTGGCTGTGTACTCACTATACTAACTCTGCGTCCTCACCTGGCTGTGTACTCACTATACTAACTCTGCGTCCTCACCTAGCTGGGTACTCACTATACTAACGCTGCATCCTCCCCTGGCTGTGTACTCACTATACTAACTCTGCGTCCTCACCTGGCTGTGTACTCACTATACTAACTCTGCATCCTCACCTGGCTGGGTACTCACTATACTAACACTGCATCCTCCCCTGGCTGGGTACTCACTATACTAACTCTGCGTCCTCACTATACTAACTCTGTGTCCTCACCTGGCTGTGTACTCACTATACTAACGCTGCCTCCTCCCCTGGCTGTGTACTCACTATACTAACTCTGCGTCCTCACCTGGCTGTGTACTCACTATACTAACTCTGCGTCCTCACCTGGCTGGGTACTCACTATACTAACGCTGCATCCTCCCCTGGCTGTGTAATCACTATACTAACTCTGCGTCCTCACCTGGCTGGGTACTCACTATACTAACGCTGCATCCTCCCCTGGCTGTGTACTCACTATACTAACTCTGCGTCCTCACCTGGCTGGGTACTCACTATACTAACGCTGCATCCTCCCCTGGCTGTGTAATCACTATACTAACTCTGCGTCCTCACCTGGCTGGGTACTCACTATACTAACGCTGCATCCTCCCCTGGCTGTGTACTCACTATACTAACTCTGCGTCCTCACCTGGCTGGGTACTCACTATACGAAAGCTGCATCCTCCCCTGGCTGTGTAATCACTATACTAACTCTGCGTCCTCACCTGGCTGGGTACTCACTATACTAACGCTGCATCCTCCCCTGGCTGTGTACTCACTATACTAACTCTGCGTCCTCACCTGGCTGGGTACTCACTATACTAACGCTGCATCCTCCCCTGGCTGTGTACTCACTATACTAACTCTGCGTCCTCACCTGGCTGGGTACTCACTATACGAAAGCTGCATCCTCCCCTGGCTGTGTACTCACTATACTAACTCTGCGTCCTCACCTGGCTGGGTACTCACTATACTAACGCTGCATCCTCCCCTGGCTGTGTACTCACTATACTAACTCTGCGTCCTCACCTGGCTGGGTACTCACTATACGAAAGCTGCATCCTCCCCTGGCTGTGTACTCACTATACTAACTCTGCGTCCTCACCTGGCTGGGTACTCACTATACGAAAGCTGCATCCTCCCCTGGCTGTGTAATCAGTACACTTACCAGGGTCAGGTGCATCGGGCTGTAAGGCAGGGAAGTCATTTTCAAAGAGGAATGTTCCCTCGTAATCAGGATTTATCTTCATCCACAGAACAAATCAAAGAAGAAATTGTTATTATTGGTATTGATATAGTGTTAACATATTCTGTATCGCTTTACAATATTATATTTAACAATCAATAAGACAATTACAAAATGTTACAGGAACAAGAGGTTGAAGAGGATATGTCTCCAGGTACCTGCAGTAACCGAGAATCACATAGAACGTGTGCTATTCCATGATTAGGTTTCATAGTATCCACCAATAAAGGACAGTACAAAGTCTGCCCTGTGCTATTTCAATACAGCCAATGTTAAATGAGGACAGAACCCAGCAAGACATTCACAGCCATTGTGTATAAATATAGACTGTGATTTACAGAGAGAGATGGAGCAATGTTTAGTGAACATCATGGATTGTTAGAATATAATTCTGCTATTTTCTTAACATATAAATAAAGCAATGACAAGAGGTCCGGGAGCCTGTGAGGTGTGGCTTTACTTGGTTTATAAGATTAGTAAAAATATAAGAATTTATATTAAAAATTATTTTTTTTTTAAAGTATAATAAAAAAGGAAATTATCATTGATAAACAATATCCACATTTTATTTGATCTGTGTATCATACTGTGTATGCGCATTTGTCTCCACTCGGAAGCTGACGTCGATGGAGGAGGAGAGGTCACCAGCGCAGAGGATTAAGGTAAGCAAATAAATGGTTAATTAACCATTTATTTGACGTGGAACGGTGACTAGGGCTTTATAGGATTAGGAGCGCTGTAGTGTCCTTTAAAAACATTTTTCTAGCTTTTTAGTACAATTGCCCCTGCAGTCTCACTGCTCAATTCTCTGCCATTTATGAGTTAAATCACTTTTGTTTCTGTTTATACAGCCCTAGCCACACCTCTCCTGGCTATGATTGACAGAGCCTGCATGAAAACAAAATGGCTTCATTTTCAATCAGATGTAACTTATTAGAACTTTTTATCTCCTGCTCTATAAATTGAACTTTAATCACATACAGGAGGCCCCTGCAGGGTCTAGCAAGCTATTAACATAGCAAAATATCAGAAATTCGAAATTAAATGTAATGTGAATTAAGGTAGTGTAAATATTAGATGTCTCTATGCAGGAAATTGTGAGGAAGGCTGTGCAATTCACATACAGTGTGAGGTAACTAGGGCTACATAAACAAAATGATTTAACACCTAAATCACAGAGAATTGAGAAATGAGATTGCAGGGACATGATCTATACACCAAAACTGCTTCTTTAAGCTAAAGTTATTTGGTGCCTATAGCATCCCTTTAGTACAATGTAGCAGTTTAGAGATATGTAACACTATACATGCACTTTGTAACATGTGATTTTGAATAGTCGCTCTGTTGTCACATGACTGGGCAGATAACCCCTCCCCTTACTTCCTGTTTTGGGCATTATATATTCTTTAAAATGAAAACTAGCTGTATTATCAGTCGAAATATTGCTCTTTTCAACTTGAAGTGTTTAAATTATGGGACATTGATACTTGAGGAAACAACAGATATTTTTAGTCTTTTAAAGGATCGCTATAGGGTCAGGAACACAAACATATATTCCTGACCCTATAGTGTTAACACCACCATCTAGCCCCCCTGGGCCCATCATGCCTCCATAAATATAGTAAAACTCTTACTGTATTCAAGCCAGAAGCTGTAAATCTGCATGCTGTTAGACTCAGGAAAAACAAGCAGTCTGCTGACATGTGATAGCCTGATCCAATGACAATGCTCCCCCATATGACTGGCTGAGACTGACAAAGAGGCAGATCAGGGGCAAAGCCAGCATGATTCAAACACAGCCCTGGCCAATCAGCATCTCCTCACTGAGATGAATTGAATCAATGTATCTCTATGAGGAAAGTTAGGTGTCTGCATGCAGAGGGAGGAGATACTGAATCACAGGATGCTGTGCACAGTGCTGCCCTGTGCTCTGCTGACAGCATATCTGAGTGGATGGAGGCATATTATGCCTCCATCAACTCCGAAGTCCCTCTGGTACACTCTGAGTGACTGCAACTGGAGGTGTTCCTAGCTTTCAATGTAAACACTGTATTTTCTCAGAAAATACAGTGTTTACATGAGAAAGGCTGCAGGGAGCTATAGTTCTCACCTGAACAACCTCATTAAGCTGAAGTTGTTTAAGTGACTATAGTGTCCCTTTAAGTATTTTTTTATAAACTGTACTAATATATAGCTCTCTGCTGTCCTGGTAAGAGAGGGCAGGTACTTTAAGTGACATCTTGAAAACGCAAAATTATATTTAGTTCAATAGCAGGAACAAGGCATTTGCCTTGGGCGGCATTTTTCAGGGGGCGGCAAAAAAAGCCGCCCCCCAAATGCCCAAGGCAAATGTCTTGTTAGCCTCGCGGCTAACAGACATGCTGGGCGCTGGGCGGCATTGGCGGGCGGCTGACGAGGGAGCTGTTCCTGTGAGCTGTCTACTCAGCTCCCTCGCGCGCCGCAGAGTGAGGCAGGGAGCCGGAAGATGACGTCATATTCCGGCTCCCAGCCTCACTCTGCGGCGCGCGAGGGAGCTGAGCAGTCAGCTCACAGGAAGAGCTCCCTCGTCAGCCGCCCGCCCGCCAATGCCGCCCACCCAACAGCCACTGGACCACCAGGGAGATAGAGAACCCCTTCCCTCCCCAGCACTCCCAAAGGTAAGGAGGATGGAGGAGGGGGGGGGTTTAAAAAGTACATGTGTTAATGTGAGTGTGTGTGTCTGTTAGTGAGTGTGTGTTAGAGTGTGTGTGTCTGTTAGTGAGTGTGTGTGTGTCTGTTAGTGTGTGTGTGTTAGTGAGTGTGAGTGTGTGTGTGTCTATTATTGAGTGTGTGTGTCTATTAGTGAGTGTGTGTGAGTGTTAGTGAGTGTGTGTGTGTCTGTTAGTGAGTGTGTGTGTGTCTGTTAGTGTGTGTGTGTCTGTTAGTGTGTGTGTGTCTGTCTGTTAGTGTGTGTGTGTCTGTGAGTGAGTGTGTCTCTGCTAGTGAGTGTGTGTGTTTGACTGTGTGTGTCAGTGAGTTTGTGTTTCTGTTAGCTAGTGTACGCGTATCTGTCAGTGAGTGTGTGTGTATTTAGAAGGCGGGGGGAAGGGATGGGTGGGGGTCGCGTGCGCGGGGGGGAAGGGATGGGTGGGGGTCGCACGCGGTGGGGGGTTGGGGGCGCCTGAGTTTTGTCCTGCCTAGGGCAGCACAAAACCAGGATACACCACTGAGCAGGAAGTAGAAAGAGAAGGGGCTGTGAGATTGTAATCCCTGTAAGTGCGCACACACACCCGGCAATAATACTTTTATATCAATAACTATTATTATTATTATTGGTATTTAAATAGCACCAACTTATTTCGCAGCACTTTACAATATATTAAACAGAGAGTTACGGTGAGCTGACAAGCAAGGGGTAGAATTCAGATCAGATTATGAATAAAGATCTAAGCAGGCTCATGGGAAGATTTTTTTTCCCCCACAAAAACTGTTCAGGCCGAAGTCTGGAAACGTGTAAATCAGTTCATGATTAGTGATGTCCCGAACGGTTCGCCACGGACGGCGAACATATGCGCTGTTCGGTCCGCCCCCTTATGTCATCATTGAGTAAACTTTGACCCTGTACCTCACAGTCAGCAGACACATTCCAGCCAATCAGCAGCAGACCCTCCCTCCCAGACTCTCCCACCTCCTGGACAGCAGCTTCACAATGAATGTAAAATGGATGCTGTCCAGGAGGTGGGAGGGTCTGCTGCTGATTGGCTGGAATGTGTCTGCTGACTGTGAGGTACAGGGCCAAAGTTTACTCAATGATGACATAGGGGGCGGACCGAACAGCGCATTTGTTCGCCGTCTGCGGCGAACCGTTCGGGATATCACTATTCATGATATATCCATTTATTCGGCTAAAGTTGCAAACTATTAAATTTGTTTTCCTCTGTGGCCTGGCAGAATTACCTCCCCTCCGGCTCTCAGGGCCCCCGGGCAGAGAGGGTTGGTTAGATCGTGTCTGGGAATGTTTTCCTCCGAAGGTTTCTCAACCTGTCCCTGCCACGGACGCTTCATGCGGTGCGCAGACACCAACACCCAGTCATCCCGCAGAGGGTTATACCGAATGTGCTGGTGTTCTAGAGACAGGAGAGAAATATTGGATGACACATTAAGGATGGATAATAATTCACGTGACATTTCAGATGAAAGAAATATAAGCAGAGTTAATACAAAATACATAAAAAAAGAACCATTCATATCAGATCCTGCATTTCATGCGAATGCTCTAACTTTGCAGCTTTTGAGGTGAGTTCTCAGTAAATGCTAGTAATGCTCATTTAAAGGAGCAATCCACGTTAACATAACCACTATAGTGTACTGTGGTGGTTATGGTGCAAGGAGTATCCTGGAACCCTCCAGAATAAGCAGTCAAATAGAGAATGCTCTTCACTGAACTAAACGCAGAGGTGCAGGGCTTAGCTTACTAGCTGAGAGCAATCAGAATTAACTGCAGCTCCTAGCATGTGCTTCCAGCTCTCCAAAAAAAGCTGTAGAGAGGGGGAACGGAGCCAAGCAGACCGCAAGTAAAATATATTGGGGGGCACTAAAACCACTACAGCATGTGGCAGTGGTTATGGTGCTTCAAATGTTCATAAGCAGTGATTTAGGTACAAGGAAGTGAATCTAGGAGTTTGTTATTTGGTAGCCATTATTTTATTTTATTTATTTTAGAAAGCCAACAGCTGAAGTCCAAGACTGTATATATTGATGTTATTCATAAAATAAAAAAGGTAAAAATTCACAGGGGCGTTACTGTTTCCCAATGTACCTCCTTCAAGCAATGCAGAGTAAGGAGCTGGTATGTCATATACTAGCATACATGTGTGTGCCTGGATATGTCATCAAAGAGGTAGATGTAAGAGGAGTTTATTATTTAGAGTGGCACTGTCATACCGAACTTATCTTTCCCCAATCTCTTCCTCCTCTCTCAGGATCTGTTCTTCGTTTCTTCCTGTCTGTTCTAGTTTTCTTTAAAACATAAGACAAAGTGGGGACTTTTTGTCTTCTGGAGGTCTCCTACGCCTGACCAGCGGAGGAGCAAAGTGTGCTTCATTTCCGGTGGTCAGAGCAATTTTCCCACAATTCTAAGCTTTCCTCCCTGTTCCCACGATGCTTCCCGTCAGTATTGCCGAACGTCCCGTCAGCATTGCCGAACGTCCCGTCAGCATTGCCGAACGTCCCGTCACTATTGCCGAACGTCCTCTCATTTAGACAGAACGCACGGTTTCTTCAATATCGTGTTAGGATGCAATTTGGGACGTTATTCTAATGAATGAAACTCAGATCCTTTTCTTGTGGCGGCTCCATCTTGCAGCATTTAGTAGATAACTCCCCAATTCCCGCGCTATCAGGGAGCTATCTACCAAAAGGCTGAAAGCCCTACACTGGTCCCTTCCCGCCACAGTTACCGATACGGAGTAAAGACTATCCGGCGAGGAGGGCGTGTCTAGTGAGCCGCCTGCGCGGTGGGTGGGGCTATCAGGGATAATGCCCTCCCCCCAGCCCTCCCCCCTGGAATACATTTCCCAGGATGCTGAGCCAGCCCCTCTCCTGTGTCTCTAGGGCAACCACTAATACCGCTGGGCTGGAAGGCGGCAGCAACGCCCGCGGGCTCCATCGATCCAGGAACTTCCTGTCTGTGCGTTCCACGCCGAGCACTTCCTGGTCTGTGCGTTCCACGCCAAGCACTTCCTGGTCTGTGCGTTCCACGCCGAGCACTTCCTGGTTTGTGCGTTCCACGCCGAGCACTTCCGGGTCTGTGCGTTCCACGCCGAGCACTTCCTGGTCTGTGCGTTCCACGCCGAGCACTTCCTGGTCTGTGCGTTCCAAGCCGAGCACTTCCTGGTCTGTGCGATCCACGCCGAGCACTTCCTGTCTGTGCGTTCCACGCCGAGCACTTCCTGGTCTGTGCGTTCCACGCCTAACTGAGCCTATTGGTCAGATCTGAGAGAAGGGGCGTGGCCATGCAGTATTCACTAACGGCCTAGGCAGACACAGCGTTACTCCCCCGGGTCACAGTTCCCTGTCAGTACTACCCCCTCAGCCGGGTAACAGCTCCCTGTCAGCACTACGCCCTCAGCCAGGTAACAGCTCCCTGTCAGTACTACCCCTTCAGCCAGGTAACAGCTCCCTGTCAGTACTACCCCCTCAGCCAGGTAACAGCTCCCTGTCAGTACTACCCCCTCAGCCAGGTAACAGCTCCCTGTCAGTACTACCCCCTCAGCCGGGTAACAGCTCCCTGTCAGCACTACGCTCCTCAGCCAGGTAACAGCTCCCTGTCAGTACTACCCCTTCAGCCAGGTAACAGCTCCCTGTCAGTACTACCCCTTCAGCCAGGTAACAGCTCCCTGTCAGTACTACCCCTTCAGCCAGGTAACAGCTCCCTGTCAGTACTACCCCTTCAGCCAGGTAACAGCTCCCTGTCAGTACTACCCCTCAGCCGGGTAACAGCTCCCTGTCAGTACTACCCCTTCAGCCGGGTAACAGCTCCCTGTCAGTACTACCCCTTCAGCCAGGTAACAGCTCTCTGTCAGTACTACCCCTTCAGCCAGGTAACAGCTCTCTGTCAGTACTACCCCTTCAGCCAGGTAACAGCTCTCTGTCAGTACTACCCCCTTAGCCGGGTAACAGCTCCCTGTCAGTACTACCCCTTCAGCCAGGTAACAGCTCTCTGTCAGTACTACCCCTTCAGCCAGGTAACAGCTCCCTGTCAGTACTACCCCTTCAGCCAGGTAACAGCTCTCTGTCAGTACTACCCCTTCAGCCAGGTAACAGCTCTCTGTCAGTACTACTCCTTTGCGAAGATGGCCTGCTGCGGGTCCCGGGCGGTACAGCTGGCTGTGCTGCTGGCGGTTCTGGCAGTTATTATCCAGTTACTGCGGGGCTGGATCAACAGCAAGAACTACACCTTTACCAAGGAGGAGATAGCTGGCCTGGCCAAGGAGTACTCAGGTAATAATATAATATATACTGGGTCTAGCCAAGAAGTACTCAGGTAATAATATATACCGGGTCTGGCCAAGAAATACTCAGGTAATAATATAATATATTCCGGGTCCAGCCAAGGAGTACTCAGGTAATAATATAATATATACCGGGTCTGGCCAAGAAATACTCAGGTAATAATATAATATATACCGGGTCTGGCCAAGAAATACTCAGGTAATAATATAATATATACCGGGTCTAGCCAAGAAGTACTCAGGTAATAATATAATATATACCGGGTCTAGCCAAGAAGTACTCAGGTAATAATAGAATATATACCGGGTCTAGCCAAGAAGTACTCAGGTAATAATAGAATATATACCGGGTCTGGCCAAGAAGTACTCAGGTAATAATAGAATATATACCGGGTCTGGCCAAGAAGTACTCAGGTAATAATAGAATATATACCGTGTCTGGCCAAGAAGTACTCAGGTAATATATACCGGGTCTAGCCAAGAAGTACTCGGGTAATAATATATACCGGGTCTAGCCAAGAAGTACTCAGGTAATAATATATACCGGGTCTGGCCAAGGAGTACTTGGGTAATATAATATATAGCTGGCCTGGCCAAAGAGTACTCAGGTAGTAATAATATATACCGGGTCTGGTCAAGGAGTATTCAGGTAATAATATAATATATAGCTGGCCTGGCCAAGAAGGACTCAGGTAATAATATAATACATACCGGGTCTGGCCTAGGAGTACTCAGGTAATGACATAATATATACCGGGTCTAGCCAAGGAGTACTCAGGTAATAATATATACCAGGTCTGGCCAAGGAGTACTCGGGTAATAATATAATATATACCGGGTCTGGCCAAGGAGTACTCGGGTAATAATATATACCGGGTCTAGCCAAGGAGTACTCAGGTAATAATATAATATATACCGGGTTTGGCCAAGGAGTGCTCAGGTAATAATATATACCGGGTCTGGCCAAGGAGTACTCGGGTAATATAATACATAGCTGGCCAGGCCAAGGAGTACTCAGGTAGTAATAATATATACCGGGTCTGGCCAAGGAGTATTCAGGTAATAATATAATGTATAGCTGGCCTGGCCAAGAAGGACTCAGGTAATAATATAATTTGTACTGGGTCTGGCCAAGGAGTACTCAGGTAATAATATAATGTATAGCGGGCTTGCCCAAAGAGTACTTGGGTAATAATATAATGTATAGCCGGCTTGCCCAAGGAGTACTCAGGTAAACATAGAATGTAACGGCAGATAAGAACCATTCGGCCCATCTAGTCTGCCCAGTTTTCTAAATACTTTCATTAGTCCCTGGCCTTATCTTATAGTTAGTATAGCCTTATGCCTATCCCACACATGCTTAAACTCCTTTGCTGTGTTAACCTCTACCACTTTAGCTGGAAGGCCATGCATCCACTACCCTCTCAGTAATAATATAATGTATAGCCGGCTTGCCCAAGCAGTACTCGGGTAATAATATAATGTATAGCCGGCTTGCCCAAGCAGTACTCGGGTAATAATATAATGTATAGCCGGCTTGCCCAAGCAGTACTCGGGTAATAATATAATGTATAGCCGGCTTGCCCAAGGAGTACTCGGGTAATAATATAATGTATAGCCGGCTTGCCCAAGCAGTACTCGGGTAATAATATAATATATAGCCGGCTTGCCCAAGCAGTACTCGGGTAATAATATAATGTATAGCCGGCTTGCCCAAGCAGTACTCGGGTAATAATATAATGTATAGCCGGCTTGCCCAAGCAGTACTCGGGTAATAATATAATGTATAGCCGGCTTGCCCAAGGAGTACTCGGGTAATAATATAATGTATAGCCGGCTTGCCCAAGGAGTACTCGGGTAATAATATAATGTATAGCCGGCTTGCCCAAGGAGCACTCGGGTAATAATATAATGTATAGCCGGCTTGCCCAAGGAGTACTCAGGTAAACATAGAATGTAACGGCAGATAAGAACCATTCGGCCCATCTAGTCTGCCCAATTTTCTAAATACTTTCATTAGTCCCTGGCCTTATCTTATAGTTAGGATAACCTTATGCCTATCCCACACATGCTTAAACTCCTTTGCTGTGTTAACCTCTACCACTTTAGCTGGAAGGCCATGCATCCACTACCCTCTCAGTAATAATATAATGTATAGCCGGCTTACCCAAGCAGTACTCGGGTAATAATATAATATATATTTAATTAACTTTATACCTGTCCATGTACTCAGTATTTTTGCATGTCTTCTGTTCTGACAAGCGACAGTGTAGCGAGATAAGGAACTGCGCTCAAAGTCCAGAGTTTGACTTCAATGTGTACCTGATAAGAAACAATCTGCCATGATTGTACCCAGAGCCACCTACCTTTATATTCAGGAAGGCTTAAAGGGACACTGAAGGCACCGTATCTGCTACACCTCATTGAAGTAGTTATAGTATCTGGTGTCCGTTTTATTAAGGGTTAATGCTGAGTCCCCAGCAGCCAATCCCCTCAGTGCTGCTTGGGTTCATTAGGAAGATTAACCTGAGCAGCAATGGGAGGCACGCCTCCAGTGGGAGCGGAGCTAAGAGAAGCCTCATTTAGTGTTGAACTGCTCGAAAATGGTTTAACTCTGGAGGGACAGCGCCAGGAAACTGCAGGCACTATAACCACGTCAATTAGATGATAATTAGTATCTACAGTGTCCATTTAATTTAAAGGACCACTACAGGCACTTAGACCACTTCAGCTTAATGAAGTGGTCTGGGTGCCAGGTCCATCTAGGATTAACCCTTTCTGCTGTAAACATCAGAAACTGCTATGAAAACTTCAGAGAAACTGCTATGTTTACCCATGGGTTAATCCAGCCTCTAGTGGCTGTCTCACTGACAGGCGCTTCCGCGCTTCTCACTGTGATTTTAACCGTGAGAAGACGCCAGCGTCCATAGGAAAGCATTGAGAATGCCTTCCTATGGACTGGCTGCATGCGCATTCAGCGATGACGGGGAAAGGAGGGGGAGAGTCCACGGCGCTGGAAAAAAAGTAAGGGATTAACCCCTTCCTCACCCTAGAGCTCGGCGTGAGGGGGACTCTATAGAGCCAGAAAAACAAGAGTGTTTTCCTGGCACTATAGTGGTCCTTTAAAGTAGAGATTCTGAATTGTTTTATTATACAGCAGACACAGCTGTTATTTCTGTGCATTGCATTGTCTATTCGTATAGCCTCTACCTCTGTCCATGGCTCTTGCAGTTCTCTGGAGGGGAATACTAATCTGGCCTAAAAGAGGAACGTGTCCATTGCATGTACCTCAGCAACTCGCTGTGACCCTATGGGCTCCCTAATGGGGTGTGTGCACCACTTGCGGTGATCTGGGCCATGTGTGGGGTTGTATGAGCCGCATGTCCTGACTGGATAGATGTGAATTCCTATGTCCTGCTCTCGGTGCCACCCGGGTCCTAGCAGGGTGCCCGTTCCACTGTGGCTGGAAGTCTTTTAATATCTCTCTCTCCCAGGTCTAGATTATGAAGTCGCTTTCTCCAAGATCATCATTGAGCTGAGAAAGAAGCACCCGGGGCACATACTGCCAGATGAGGATCTCCAGTGGGTGTTTGTTAACGCTGGCGGATGGATGGGTTCCATGTGTCTCCTTCACGCATCTCTCACAGAGTATGTGCTGCTCTTCGGGACGGCTATAGATACCAGCGGACACTCAGGTGAGTGCGATTGTAAGGAAACCTAGTATATTCAATCCTCATTCGGTAGTTTCCTCCCGAACCGCCAGAGCATCAGTGAGTATAGCTCTCCGTTCGGAAGATGAAATAGACGAAATCCATACGAATACAAATAGCTTTATAAGATAATTCCCTTAATAAAGCATATGAATCCCCAAACATCAGCCGAAGTCAAGAAGAACGGTACCACAGAACTGGCTTTTAATGACCACACACAGGCTTTATGCAAGTCCCCATGCAAGGGGACATGCCACAGGAAGGGACACAGTATAACCAATCAGTTACAGTAAAACCGTAAAACACACCCAGCACAAACATACAATTCCCTCCCCTAGTCCTGGAGATAATCAAGTCTGATAAAGTAATAACTTGATTATCTCCAGGCAGAAAAATCACAATTTTCTCCCATATTCAGAACACCCCTTTATACATGAGTATCCCCACAAATAATAGGTCCCCTGATAGCCCTGATCTGGGTGACCAACATATTCAAATTTTACCCGGATCGGTTCAGGGGTTCTCAAAAAGTGTGGAAGTCCTTTGTAACCGGCTAACCGCAAGCTGGCTGCCCAAAATAGTTCCAGGAGTTTGGGTGGTTTTGCCGGTCTATTCAGTAAAGGGGTAAAAACCGAATAATTCCATGAATGGATTGCCCTGGCTCTTAGCAGCGATTGTTCCCCTAATTCGACTGCACAAAAGTACCGAATAGCGCTCTTCTAGCTATTCGGGAAATAGAGATCCAGCGTTCGCTTGTTGAGACCGGTGTTCGGGTAGTCGAGCGTCCAATTTTAGTTCCAGATGCTTGACGACCAAGTCCCGCTGCCTTTGTTCGCCTGAAAAAAGATGGCCGCCGTTTTCTCAGCCACGTGGCGTTCTGTAGTACGAACGCTGGCCGCACAGATAGAGGGTTCAATTGAAGCATTCTTTGAAGTTTAACGAGCCAGGGGGGTGGTCTCTGTTCGGTAGTTATATCTACCGAATGAATATGGAAGAAATATTCTACATAGAGAGGGATTTTTTCACAGCGATATTCTAGGTGGATTGCCATTCTGCAGAGCTGGAAGAATGCTTTATACAGGGTGCACATTGCCATGGTGCAGGGCTGGCAGGATTCTTATACAGGGTGCGCATTGCCATTCTGCTGGGCTGGAGAGATCCTTATGCAGGGTGCGCATTGCCATGGTGCAGGGCTGGCAGGATTCTTATACAGGGTGCACATTGCCATGGTGCAGGGCTGGCAGGATTCTTATACAGGGTGCGCATTGCCATGCTGCTGGGCTGGAGAGATCCTTATACAGGGTGCGCATTGCCATGCTGCTGGGCTGGAGGGATCCTTATACAGGGTGCGCATTGCCATGCTGCTGGGCTGGCGAGATCCTTATACAGGGTGCGCATTGCCATTCTGCTGGGCTGGAGAGATCCTTATACAGGGTGCGCATTGCCATGCTGCTGGGCTGGAGAGATCCTTATACAGGGTGCGCATTGCCATGCTGCAGGGCTGGAGAGATCCTTATACAGGGTGCGCATTGCCATGCTGCTGGGCTGGAGAGATCCTTATACAGGGTGCGCATTGCCATGCTGCTGGGCTGGAAGAATGCGTTATACAGGGTGCGCATTGCCATGCTGCATGGTTGGGAGGATCCTTATGCAGGGTGCGCATTGCCATGCTGCTGGGCTGGAGAGATCCTTATGCAGGGTGCGCATTGCCATGCTGCATGGTTGGGAGGATCCTTATACAGGGTGCGCATTGCCATGGTGCAGGGCTGGCAGGATCCTTATACAGGGTGCGCATTGCCATGCTACAGGGCTGGAGAGCTCCTTATACAGGGTGCGCATTGCCATACTGCTGGGCTGGAGAGCTCCTTATACAGGGTGCGCATTGCCATGCTGCAGGGCTGGAGAGCTCCTTATACAGGGTGCGCATTGCCATACTGCTGGGCTGGAGAGCTCCTTATACAGGGTGCGCATTGCCATGCTGCAGGGCTGGAAGGATCCTGATACAGGGTGCGCATTGCCATGCTGCAGGGCTGGAAGGATCCTGATACAGGGTGCGCATTGCCATGCTGCAGGGCTGGAGAGATCCTTATACAGGGTGCGCATTGACATGCTGCAGGGCTGGAGAGATCCTTATACAGGGTGCGCATTGACATGCTGCAGGGCTGGAGAGATCCTTATACTTTAGTTGGAACTAGCCCATATGGTCATTACATTGCTCTGAAAACTCAATAAAATTACAAACAGTCATATCATAGCAGGCAACATACAGTGCCTTATTATAACATAATTAAATATTTAAAAATGGGTGGTGTAACGGCTACCCAGATGGTGAGGGGGTATCAGCCATTGGAGACGTACTTTACTTGGCAAGATGCTGTATGATAATGGAGTTGTTCTTATTCCCATCCACGAGATCCAAGGCTAGAAGCAGGCATAGCTGGAAAATGGAGCAGAGTAATGGTGTAGTAAATCCCCTTTCAAGAACGAGACGAGGCTACGTTTTGAAGGGTCAGGCAGAACTAACTTTTATTGACAGGGGCTTTCCTTTTATGCAATTCTGCCCTTGGGAGGGCGACACCTACATAATTAGTACAGTACCCAATCACAAACATGGTACCACCCCCACGTCTCCTCCCCTCAGATAAACATTTAACATAATTATTGTGCACACATTTTTACCCAAGTTTTGGATGTACCCCAAAAACAGGGGTATCATCCCATTCGGCGAAAGCGTTCGGGAGTTATGGAGCTTTAAAGTTTTGACCGACCGCACAGGCACACTGGCCGAAAATAGTTCCATAAGTTTTGGCCTTGCGGTCGGTCCCCGTTCGTGCGCTGAAAAAGCACAAAAATCCTGCCATCCGAATATAACTTAGTGTTCGCTGGAATCCCCATACACAATATATCCTTTCTACCGAACGGCCGACCGTTCGGTAGTTTCAGCACGAAATTACGTTATGGAGGTCTCAGCTGTGTTCGCTTACTCGAGTGTCCGTTTTTAGTTCCAGACACTCAATGGCAAATCACCGCTGTTCGTACATAAGATGGCCGCGAACACGTGCAAAGTCCCGAAATGGCGGCCACCTAGATTTTACACAAAGGATTCGTGCAGTTATCATGCGAACGGTATGTGCCGGTCTGGGAGGTAAAATACCACTTAACTACACAGCAGGGTGGTCCGGTGTTCGGCAGTTTGCATTCGTTTTTAGGGCTATAACAATCCACATCCACAGGCAAGTATGCTCTTTTGTATTCCCAGGCTTATGTCTTGTTAAATAGTTCCAGGCAGAGATTATAGTTCTGTTACAGGTGGGGAAGACTATAATTAACACAAAATGTCTCTCCTGCATGCAGAATTAGTGATATGCAAATCTACCCAAATATGCAAATTACCAGTCTTGCTATTCAGGTAGGGCATATTACTGTTACTACCAACAGAGGGCACTACGCGAGCTCCTTAGCCAAATCCACCTAGTTGGTACCAATCCTCAGCAGTACAGGAGAGCAGGAAATACATCCCAGGGGCCATAGTCACATGGCAGGAGGCTGGCAATCCGCCTTCTCCAGTGGCGAGGCTGGTTCTGCCACATTTCTCCCCTTTTCCAAACAGTCTAACAGGGTATCTGACCTCCTGCCTGTCAGTGCCCTGGTTAGTCCAGCAACCCACCCACGAAGCACAAACCGTAATACAGCCCACCCACAATTCATGGTTACTACACCTGGGTAAAAGATTAGCTCGTCCAGGTGCCTCACCACGGCTGTGTGGGTTGCTGAGTGGGCAGAGACCCGCGATACTCTGTCCTGGTGCCAGCGCTACCACAGGAGTAGCCTGGTTGGAGCCATGCTGAAAAGAAGAGTTGGTAGGCTCCTCTCTCGGGATCTGGGTTTACGGCATTCATATGCTTCTCCGGTTCGGTGGATTGGTTTCTACAGTAGCTGCCTGTAAATCTGGAAGGGGAATATCTACTGAACGGCTTTAACCCCTTTTATGCCTGGGGGTGCCATTACAGGTACTTTCGCTCAAATTATGCATTCGTGTCTTTTCTGGAGAATTCATATTAAAATGTTTTTCGTGTGGCGTTCGGCTAATTGTGCTGGGATCTGAGCGGTAATCTACCTATATGTCATTCAGTCCAATAGCATGAATAATGTGCCAGTTACATATTTTTAAGTAAAAAGCCCGGTTCTCCTGTACGGAGGGATAATCCACCTAACAGGATATTCTCGTGGGAGTATCCCTCTCGTACAGCAGCGCATGGTGGGAGAAATGTCCTGCATGTTCAGTTCCCGTGTAGTCCCCTACTGTATAACCCCTGCAAAGTGACTAAGGAAACCCCTTGCATGGGGAAATCACATAAATACTGGAGCCTGTGAATAAAAACCTGAGTTGACTCCCAGAACTGTGTTTCGTCCGGTTACTGGAGGATTTGGGATATTGCCTTCATTTTCAGCGCTTTCCTTGGATTAATTTCTTTTACCAGTGGAGATATTGGGATTTAATATTGCAGCTCCGCTATATACAGGGTGCACATTGCCATACTGCAGAGATGGAAGGATCCTTATACAGGGTGCACATTGCCATGGTGCAGGGCTGGAAGGATCCTTATACAGGGTGCACATTGCCATGGTGCAGGGCTGGCAGGATCCTTATACAGGGTGCACATTGCCATGGTGCAGGGCTGGCAGGATCCTTATACAGGGTGCGCAATGCCATGCTGCAGTGATGGAAGGATCCTTATACAGGGTGCACATTGCCATGGTGCAGGGCTGGCAGGATCCTTATACAGGGTGCACATTGCCATGGTGCAGGTCTGGCAGGATCCTTATACAGGGTGCGCAATGCCATGCTGCAGGACTGGAGAGATCCTTATACAGGGTGCACATTGCCCTGGTGCAGGGCTGGCAGGATCCTTATACAGGGTGCGCAATGCCATGCTGCAGGGCTGGCAGGATCCTTATACAGGGTGCGCAATGCCATGCTGCAGGGCTGGAGAGATCCTTATACAGGGTGCGCATTGCCATGGTGCAGGGCTGGCAGGATCCTTATACAGGGTGCACATTGCCATGGTGCAGGGCTGGCAGGATCCTTATACAGGGTGCGCAATGCCATGCTGCAGGGCTGGAGAGATCCTTATACAGGGTGCGCAATGCCATGCTGCAGGGAAGGAGAGATCCTTATACAGGGTGCGCATTGCCATGCTACAGGGCTGGAAGGATCCTTATACAGGTATTACTTGTAGACTTGCTGAGCCAGTTGGTAAAATTCCAGGGAGAGAATTACGGCGTTAAATCTAAATGTCTGCAAGGTTTGGCAATGATTGATCAACATCTGACATATTTTTGGGACTTTTATTTAACTGCACTAATTGTTTCTCTATGTGGAAAATTATTATATCTTTAATTCTAGTCCATGGTTTTTAAAGGATTGTCAAAAAAAAAAAAAGACCTCCCACCTAAACACCGCCTCTGGCGCTGGGAACATCATATCAGCGAGTTTGATTCCCACCATGGTCCGATATAGTGGCCACTGACACTGCCGACTGACTAATGGTTTTCCCTCTCCTACATCCAGTTATTTGGGTTTTGATTGCAGTAAGATTTTTGCAGTCAGACTGTAAGCCCAGCTTATAAATGACAGGGAACTGGCAAATCTGCAGTAATTTCCCCAAAAATCAATTCATAGAACCTCTTATTAAAAAAATAAAAAAATCCAAAAGAATAGCCCATGCTCTAGCTACGTGTAGAATGCTCCATCTGAAGTGTGACCATTCATGTTTATACCAGATTTTGCTTCTGAGTGAGGTTCAAGGCCAGTCTCTGCTGGGAGGGGGCTGTTATTTGCATTTTAAGTTCATGGTCTGACCATGGCTGATGGTATCTCTCCCTCCCCCACAGGTATAGATTACTGGATTCCTGAGTGGGTGTCATATGAGGGGAGACGGGGTATTGGCTGCAGCTGCTGGAGTAGTCTGTACATTGCTCATCTCTCCAGCATTGTGTACCATGGATTCCTTGCTCCTGCATGGAACATTCTGGAGAGGTTACACTATATCTAGACATTTAGTAGACAGATTCTGTCCCTCCTGTGTCTCCAGTCATTTTACACTCTGCCAGTTATATCACGTACGTTACCCATTACACAGTGACCCCTGCACCATGCAGCCATCTCTCCGTATTATACAGTGACCCCTAACCTGCACCATGCAGCCATCTCTCCGTATTACACAGTGACCCCTAACCTGCACCATGCAGCCATCTCTCCGTATTACACAGTGACCCGGTACTGCACCATGCAGCCATCTCTCCGTATTACACAGTGACCCAGTACTGCACCATGCAGCCATCTCTCCATATTACACAGTGACCCAGTACTGCACCATGCAGCCATCTCTCCATATTACACAGTGACCCAGTACTGCACCATGCAGCCATCTCTCCGTATTACACAGTGACCCAGTACTGCACCATGCAGCCATCTCTCCATATTACACAGTGACCCAGTACTGCACCATGCAGCCATCTCTCCATATTACACAGTGACCCGGTACTGCACCATGCAGCCATCTCTCCATATTACACAGTGACCCAGTACTGCACCATGCAGCCATCTCTCCATATTACACAGTGACCCAGTACTGCACCATGCAGCCATCTCTCCATATTACACAGTGACCCAGTACTGCACCATGCAGCCATCTCTCCATATTACACAGTGACCCAGTACTGCACCATGCAGCCATCTCTCCGTATTACACAGTGACCCAGTACTGCACCATGCAGCCATCTCTCCATATTACACAGTGACCCAGTACTGCACCATGCAGCCATCTCTCCATATTACACAGTGACCCAGTACTGCACCTATCCCTAACACACGTAACTGCATCTACAGAGTTTCACTCTCCGTTTCTTCACTTCAGGAGACATGCTTACACATTTAATGTTTAGTTAACACCTTTATTTCTCAATGGGTTAATTAAACATTTTGCAAACAATATCTCTAACCATAAAAAAAAAATAAGTACGTATATATCTCTATCTCTCGATATCTGCACAAATGTAGCTTCTAGGTAAAGTTAAAGTTCAATTTTCAAGGTTCAATTTTTTTTTATCAGATTCCTAAATTACTTATTCACCAGTGTGTATTGCTAGTGAGTTACACCACGCCTGATAATTTACTGAAAATAAATAACAACGCTTATATATATAAAAAAAAGATTTTTAAATACAAAATTATTTAGGGTAAAGCTAAAGCTCTGACCCTCCCAATCTTTAATTGTAAAAGGATTATTTTAATTTTATAGGATGGTGTTGGGTAGACTCTAAACTAAACCCCCAAACTTGCTTCTCACCTCCTATTGCTGTGAGGAGGAGAGCTCGGGCTGCCGATGGACATACGGTATTACGGATTGTGTGAGATTATGCTGTTAGTGATGAGGGAAGCTCGGGCTGCCGATGGACATACGGTATTACGGATTGTGTGAGATTATGCTGTGGGTGAGGAGGGAAGCTCGGGCTGCTGATGGACATACGGTATTACGGATTATGTGTGTTTGTGGTGTAAGATTATGCTGTTAGTGAGGAGGAGAGCTCGGGCTGCCGATGGACATACGGTATTACGGATTGTGTGAGATTATGCTGTTAGTGATGAGGGAAGCTCAGGGTGCCAATGAACATACGGTATTACGGATTATGTGAGATTATGCTTTTAGTGATGAGGGAAGCTCGGGCTGCCGATGGACATACGGTATTACGGATTGTGTGAGATTATGCTGTTAGTGATGAGGGAAGCGGAGGCTGCCAATGGACATACGGTATTACGGATTGTGTGAGATTATGCTGTTAGTGATGAGGGAAGCTCGGGCTGCCGATGGACATACGGTATTACGGATTGTGTGAGATTATGCTGTTAGTGATGAGGGAAGCTCAGGCTGCCGATGGACATACGGTATTACGGATTGTGTGTGTTTGTGGTGTAAGGTTATGCTGTTAGTGATGAGGGAAGCTCGGGCTGCCGATGGACATACGGTATTACGGATTGTGTGAGATTATGCTGTTAGTAATTAGGGAAGCTCGGGCTGCCGATGGACATACGGTATTACGGATTGTGTGAGATTATGCTGTTAGTAATTAGGGAAGCTCGGGCTGCCGATGGACATTATTATTATTATTTATATAGCGCCAACAAATTCCGTAGCACTGTACAATGGGTGGACTAAAAGACACATAATTGAGATCAGACCACTGACGTACAGGAACAGAGGGGGTTGAGGGCCCTGCTCGATGAGCTTACATGATAGAGGGAGTGGGGTATAGTGACACAAAAGGTTAAAGTAGGGGAATTAAATAGTTTGTTACAGAAGGGTTTATTGAGTGCTTGGTAGGTCATTTTTGACAGGTGAAGGAACGGAGTCATGGGGTGGGGGATGAGAAACCCGCTGACAGTTTAATTGATACGCTTTAATAAAGAAGTGAGTTTTCAAAGATTTTTTGAAGGAATGGAGGCTGGGTGAAAGTCTGATTGAGGAGGGAAGGGAGTTCCACAGAATAGGTGCAGCCCTGGAGAAGTCTTGAAGGCGAGCATCAGAGGTGGGGATCCGGGCAGAGGATAGGAGTAGGTCTTGGGCTGAGCTCAGGGGTCTCGACGGGACATACTTGTGTATGAGGGAGGATAGGTATGTTGGAGCAGCATTATGTAGGGATTTGTAAGCAAGCGCCAGAATTTTGAATTGGGCCCTATATCTAACTGGAAGTCAATGCAGGGACTGACAGAGCGTGGAGGCGTGGGAGGTGCGACCGGACAGGTATTATGGATTGTGTGAGATTATGCTGTTAGTGATGAGGGAAGCTCGGGCTGCCGATGGACATACGGTATTACGGATTGTGTGAGATTATGCTGTTAGTAATGAGGGAAACTCGGGCTGCCGATGGACATACGGTATTATGGATTGTGTGAGATTATGCTGTTAGTGATAGGGAAGCTCGGGCTGCCGATGGACATACAGTATTACGGATTGTGTGAGATTATGCTGTTAGTGATGAGGGAAGCTCAGGGTGCCGATGGACATACGGTATTACGGATTGTGTGAGATTATGCTGTTAGTGATGATGGAAGCTCGGGCTGCCGATGGACATACGGTATTACGGATTGTGTGAGATTATGCTGTTAGTGATGAGGGAAGCTCGGGCTGCCGATGGACATACGGTATTACGGATTATGTGTGTTTGTGGTGCAAGATTATGCTGTTAGTGAGGAGGGAAGCTCGGGCCGTCATGGACATACGTATTACGGATTGTGAGAGAGATTATGCTGTTAGTGAGGAGGGAAGCTCGGGCTACCGATGGACATACGGGTATTACGGATTGCGAGATTATGCTGTTAGTGATGAGGGAAGCTCGGCCGCCGGCGGACACACGGTATTACGGATTGTGTGAGATTATGCTGTTAGTGATGAGGAGAGCTCGGGCTGCCGATGGACATACGGTATTACGGATTGTGTGAGATTATGCTGTTAGTGATGAGGGAAGCTCGGGCTGCCGATGGACATACGGTATTACGGATTGTGTGAGATTATGCTGTTAGTGATGAGGGAAGCTCGGGCTGCCGATGGACATACGGTATTACGGATTGTGTGAGATTATGCTGTTAGTGATGAGGGAAGCTCAGGGTGCCGATGGACATACGGTATTACGGATTGTGTGAGATTATGCTGTGGGTGAGGAGGGAAGCTCGGGCTGCTGATGGACATACGGTATTACGGATTATGTGTGTTTGTGGTGTAAGATTATGCTGTTAGTGAGGAGGAGAGCTCGGGCTGCCGATGGACATACGGTATTACGGATTGTGTGAGATTATGCTGTTAGTGATGAGGGAAGCTCAGGGTGCCAATGAACATACGGTATTACGGATTATGTGAGATTATGCTTTTAGTGATGAGGGAAGCTCGGGCTGCCGATGGACATACGGTATTACGGATTGTGTGAGATTATGCTGTTAGTGATGAGAGAAGCTCGGGCTGCCGATGGACATACGGTATTACGGATTGTGTGAGATTATGCTGTTAGTGATGAGGGAAGCTCAGGCTGCCAATGGACATACGGTATTACGGATTGTGTGAGATTATGCTGTTAGTGATGAGGGAAGCTCGGGCTGCCGATGGACATACGGTATTACGGATTGTGTGAGATTATGCTGTTAGTGATGAGGGAAGCTCGGGCTGCCGATGGACATACGGTATTACGGATTGTGTGAGATTATGCTGTTAGTGATGAGGGAAGCTCAGGCTGCCAATGGACATACGGTATTACGGATTGTGTGAGATTATGCTGTTAGTGATGAGGGAAGCTCGGGCTGCCGATGGACATACGGTATTACGGATTGTGTGAGATTATGCTGTTAGTAATGAGGGAAACTCGGGCTGCCGATGGACATACGGTATTATGGATTGTGTGAGATTATGCTGTTAGTGATAGGGAAGCTGAGGCTGCCGATGGACATACGGTATTACGGATTGTGTGAGATTATGCTGTTAGTGATGAGGGAAGCTCGGGCTGCCGATGGACATACGGTATTACGGATTGTGTGAGATTATGCTGTTAGTGAGGAGGGAAGCTCAGGCTGCCTATGGACATACAGTATTACGGATTGTGTGAGATTATGCTGTTAGTGATGAGAGAAGCTCGGGCTGCCGATGGACATACGGTATTACGGATTGTGTGAGATTATGCTGTTAGTGAGGAGGGAAGCTCAGGCTGCCTATGGACATACAGTATTATGGATTGTGTGAGATTATGCTGTTAGTGATGAGGGAAGCGGAGGCTGCCAATGGACATACGGTATTACGGATTATGTGTGTTTGTGGTGTAAGATTATGCTGTTAGTGATGAGGGAAGCTCGGGCTGCCGATGGACATACGGTATTACGGATTGTGTGAGATTATGCTGTTAGTGAGGAGGGAAGCTCAGGCTGCCTATGGACATACAGTATTATGGATTGTGTGAGATTATGCTGTTAGTGATGAGGGAAGCGGAGGCTGCCAATGGACATACGGTATTACGGATTATGTGTGTTTGTGGTGTAAGATTATGCTGTTAGTGAGGAGGGAAACTCGGGCTGCCGATGTACATACGGTTTAACGGATTGTGTGAGATTATGCGGTCAGTGAGGAGGGAAGCTCGGGCTGCTGATGGACATACGGTATTACGGATTGTTTGTGGTGTGAGGAGGGAAGCTCGGGCTGATGATGTACATACGGTGTTACAGATTGTGTGTGTTTGTGGTGTGAGAGTATGCTGTCAGTGAGGAGGGAAGCTCGGGCTGATGATGTACATATAGTATTACGTATTGTGAGATTATGCTGTGAGCGAGGATGAAAGCTCAGGCTGCCGCTGGACATACGGTATTACGGATTGTGTGTGTTTGTGGGTGTGTAGCGGAGCTCCAATACCACACATAGGTATCGCCGCTATTCCTTCCTCGAAGCTGAAAGAAGCACTGCAATAATCCAAGATTATTAACTAGACGACACATAGTTCTGGGAGTCAACTTAAAATTTTTGCCACTCACGGCTTTTGGGGTCTCCACATCAAAACTACAAGGGCTTTCCTCCCAGGAGCCTCTGTTTCTTAAAGAGATAATTGAGTGGGAAAACTGTAACTCAATTATCTCTGATACAGGAAAAAATACACAATATTACAATTTACTCAAAAATTAATTTTAATAACGTAGGAACCGCACGAAAGACATACCACTTTGTCGAAATAGCACTTAGATCCCTTTGGTGGTTCGGGAATGCCATTCCAAGTTTTGACAAGTCGGCCACAAGGTGATGCTTTGTTTTATATGGAACAGTTTTGGGGCAACGACCAGTCATCTTTCGGGTGTTCTCATACGAACACCGATGAATGCTCCCCCTGGTTAGCTGAAAAGAGACTTACGTCCATCAAGTTCAGCCTTCCTCACGTATGTTTTTGCTGTTGATCCAAAAGAAGGCAAAAAACCCAGTCTGAAGCGCTTCCAATTTTGCAAGAAACTAGGAAAAAATTCCTTCTTGACCCCAAAATAGCATTTCTTGCAAAATGAGATGTCTCCTTGGATCAAGCAGCTATTACCCTACTAATTAGAAATTATATCCCTGTGTGTTATGTTTTTGCAAGTATTTATCTAATTTCAGTTTAAACATCTGTAAAACCACCTCTTCAGGTAGAGAATTCCATATCCTTATTGCTCTTACTGTAAAAAAAAACCTTTTCTTTGCCTTAGGTGAAATCTCCTTTCTTCCAGCCTAAATGTGTGACCTCGTGTCCTATGTATAGCCCTGTTTATGAATAGATTTCCAGATAAAGGTTTGTACTGGCCCCGAATATATTTGTATAAAGTTATCATATCCCCTCTCAGGCGCCGTTTTTCCAAACTAAAGAGATTTACATTTTTTTAACCTTTCTTCATAACTGAAATGCTCCATTCCTTTTATCAATTTTGTAGCTCGTCTCTGCACTCTTTCTAGTGCCATGATATCTTTCTTTAGAACAGGTGCCCAAAATTGCACAGCATATTCAATGTGTGGTCTTACCAGCGATTTTATAAAGAGGCAAAATTATATTTTCATCCCAAGAATTTATGCCCCTGTTTATACATGACAAAACCATACTGGCCTTAGCAACTGCAGATTGACATTGCATATTGCTGCCTAATTTGTTGTCTATAACAATTCCCAAATCCTTCTCGTTTGTAGTTCACTACCATTTAGGGTGTAAATTGCTTGTCCATTCTTAACCCCGAAGTGCATAACTTTGCATTTTTCTACATTAAATTTCATCTGCCATTTTAGTGCCCAGTCTCCCAATCTATCCAAATCCCTCTGCAGCAAAGCAATATCCTGCTCACATTTTATTACTTTACAAAGTTTTGTGTCATCTGCAAACACTGATACGTGGCTTTCAATGCCCATTTCAAGATCATTTATAAATATGTTAAATAGAAGCGGTCCCTAAACAGAACCCTGAGGTACACCACTAACCACTTTTGTCCAGCTTGAAATTTTACCATTAATGACAACTCGTTGTACTCTATCCTTAAGCCAATGTTCTACCCAAGAACAAGAATATTCATCTAGGCCAATTTCTTTTAGCTTGAAGACTAACCTATTGTGAGGAACCGTATCAAATGCCGTGGCAAAATCTATGTAGATCACATCCACTGCAACACCCTGATCTATACTTCTACTTACTTCTTCGTAGAATGCAATTAGGTTAGTTTGACATGACCTGTACTTCAAAAAAACCATGCTGATTATTGCTAATAACACAGTTCTTCCCAATGATTTCCTGAATATTATCCCTTAAAGGGAAACTCCAGTGCCAGGAAAACAATCCGTTTTCCTGGCACTGCAGGTCCCCTCCCATTCCCCGGTCGCTGCTTCCTCCTCCCCCGCCGCTCCTCCTTCTGACTGCGTCGTCCGGTGGGCGAGACTGATCCCGCCCACCGGCCGGGGAGACCTAATGCATGCGCATTAGCGCTCCCCATAGGAAAGCATTGAAAATGCATTTCAATGCTTTCCTATGGGGAAATGAGCGATGCTGGAGGTCCTCACACAGCGTGAGGACCTCCAGCGACGCTCTAGCACAGGTTTCCTGTGCTAGAAACCAGGAAGTGCCCTCTAGTGGCTGTCGAGACAGCCACTAGAGCTGGCGTTAACCCTGCAAGGTAATTATTGCAGTTTATAAAAAAACAGCAATAATTATACTTGCAGGGTTAAGAGTAGTGTGAGTTGGCACCCAGACCACTCCAATGGGCAGAAGTGGTCTGGGTGCCTGGAGTGTCCCTTTAATAGCCGTTCAAATAATTTCCCAGTCACAGAAGTTAAGCTCACAGGTCTATAATTTCCAGGCAAGGATTTTGAACCCTTTTTAAATATAAGAACAACATTTGCCTTCCTCCAATCCTCCGGTACAATACCTGAAACAAAAGAATCTTGAAAAATTAAATACAGAGGTTCACTTGTTTCCCCACTTAGCTCCTTAAGTACTCGTGGGTGGATACCGTCAGGCCCCGGAGCTTTATTTACATTAATTTTCTCTAACAGCTGTAGCACCTTGTCTCGAGTTATCCAATTACAAGTTATCGGCAACTTTTTTGCAGTAATCATTTGCATATCTCTTGCCATAGGATCCTCATTAATATATACTGAAGAAAAATAGTTATTTAAAATCTCCTCTGCCTTTTCCTGGTCTTCATTAGCTAATAAACCCAACTCTGTTTTCGGTGTACCTACACTTTCATTTTTTGTTTTTAGAGTTGATGTACTTGAAAATATTTTGGGGTTGGTTTTGCATTCTTTGGCTGTCAATTTCTCATTTTCTAGTTTAGCCACTTTAATTGCCTTTTTGCAAGTATTATTGGCTCCCTTATATCTTAAATAGGATGCCTCTGATTTGTCAGATTTTAAATGCTTTTTCTTAGTTTTAATCTCTTGTTTTACTTCTCTACTAAGCCACATTGGTTTTAATTTGTTTCTTTTATATTTATTACCCAATGGTACATATTGAGTAATGTACCTTTCTAATATTTGTTTGAATAGTTTCCATTTATCCTCAGTGTTTTTATCACTAAGGAGTTTATGCCAGTCGATATGTTGTAGAACTGCCCTAATCTTAATGAAATTGGCTTTTTTTTAAATTATATGTTTTAGTATACCCCACTTGCTTTTGCTTTTTTGAGTTTATTTCAAAATTTACCATATTGTGATCACTGTTTCCCAAATGCTCCCCTACTTGAATGTTGGTTAAAAGATCAACATTGTTTGTTATGACAAGATCCAGACAAGCATCCTTTCTAGTTGGTGCTTGTACCAGTTGTGACATAAAGGTGTCATTTAACACATTCAAAAACCAGATTCTCCTTGCTGAAGTACTAGTCCCTCTATCCCAATTTATGTCCGAGTAATTAAAATCTACAATCATTAACGTGTTACCCCAATTTGCAGCTTTCCCAATTTGCAGTTCTTCCTCATTAATATTTACATTTGGTGGTTTATAACATATCCCAACCAGTTAGGGAGCAAATGCTCCCCCTGTTTGGTAGTTCATGCCTCCCGAACGCCTTTCTTATAACTGTTCGGGAGGTTGGATGAGCAGCGGTGCTAGTTTCCTGGGTGTTCGCAGGGTTGCATTTCCGTGGTATAGTTACATGTTGTCGACAACCATGTACCACTGCCTGCGTTCGTGAGACAAAATATATAATATACACTGAAAAGTCTCCATTCGTGTATTTGGTAGATCTGGTTCGGTAACAGAACAGCCGCACGAACCGTAGACCACCCTGGAGCTTGTTAAGCCTAATTACTACTTTGTAGCAATTTCCACCGCAGTGTTCCAAGTGTTCGTTTGGGTGGCCGCATTTCTTATGGATGACCACGAGGTTGCGGCCATCTTGTTCGCATGAATACAGGCAACGGTGGTCGTCGAGCTCGTGGAACTATTTACACTGAAATTCACAAACATTGCTGGACTTCCATGATCGCTTGTGTTTGGTTTTCTAACACTTAGGAAGACACCGTTCGATGGAAACGTTCCCATGAACAAGGGGGACAAGCTCCAGGGTAAGAATATTGACTATGTTCGGTAGTTTGTTCGGTTTTAAACTACCGAATTAGACCGACCGCTAGCCCTGATTTTATGGAACAGTTTTGGGCAGGAGCCTCGTGTGCGGTCGGTCAAATTAAGACTTCCAGGAAATTCCCGAACCCCCTGAACTGATCTGGGTGATTTTTGGATATGTTGGTCACCCAGATCGGGGCTATCGGGGGATATAACTTGTGTGGGGTTTTTATGTCCTTTTAAAGGTACTTTTGGGGGTGTTTGTGAAATGTGTGTTTTTGTGCCTGGAGATAATTGAGTTTTGTACAGTTCCTGACTCAATTATCTCCCAGGTATAGGGGAGTGATTACCCTGTTTTTCTGTGGGAGTGTCATTGGTGTGCTTGTCTGTGTTCAGAAATGTATAAAAGCAAGCTGTGACGGAACGCTGGCACTCCGACTGAGTACCTCCGCCAATCGATGCGCCTAGTGCTCGCTGAGGACTCCAAGCACTCCACCCGACACAATCAGCACTGCAGACCCCACTTCCAGCGATACAGCTGCGCCGGGGTCTCGCCCTCTCCACCCACCCTGGATCCACGACCAGGATCCAGCTCCCAGTGGGTAAACCTCTCCTAAATCCAGAGAGCGTAGCAGGAACAAATCAAGCTTTTGCATGAATTTACTCTGGGGAGTAAGTGATTATAGCAATCCCCAGAGTGTAGTTTTCCAATCCACCAAACATGAGCCAAGGCTTAATGCTGGATAAGACTTTACTGGAAGTAACAACACAGGTATTCAAGCTACAGTTTCTTTTATGCCCTGCTCCCATACAGGGGAGGGACACACACGTTATCTACAGTAGCCAATAAAACAGAGGTTACAGCCCACACAAAATCCTCCCCTCTGCCTGTGATTCAATTATCTTATACAATAGAAGATCAATTATCACAGGTAGGAAAAATACAGTTTTTTTACAGCATATTCATAACTTCTAAAATACACCTCACATTCACATAAAAATCATATATTCACAATCAATCCATTCAGGGAAACAACATATCAAAAAATGGCATGAATCAGACCAGGGGTTCAGAAGTTAGTAAAGTATCTTTTGGGGCCTGGCTGGCAGCATGGCTATCTGGCCCAAACTGGTTTTACAGAGCCCTCTATCCTGGAGACAATGGGGAACATAATCCAATTATATCCAGGGATAGAGGCAGACTCTATTGAGCACATGTTCCCAGTAAAACACAAAAGGATACAAAAATACATAACTCCTATCATACTGAATTGAACGGGCCAAATCTCCCAGGGTCCATAGTCACAGGGCAAGAGGCGGGCAAGCAGTCCTCTCAAGGCACAAGTGGCAAAGGGCACTTTGTCACAGTAATAAATCCATGAATAAAGTAGCAGGGAGGGAAAGTAACGAATGAATGGAGGGGGATTCTTCACACAAGCCATCTGGCCAGATTAAAGGACCACTCTAGGCACCCAGACCACTTCAGCTTAATGAGGTGGTCTGGGTGCCTGGTCCAGCTAGGGTTAACCCATTTTTTCATAAACATAGCAGTTTCAGAGAAACTGCTATGTTTATGAATGGGTTAAGCCTTCCCCTATTTCCTCTAGCAGCTGTCTCATTGACAGTCAATAGAGGCGCTTGCATGCTTCTCACTGTGAAAATCACAGTGAGAGCACACAAGCGTTTATAGGAAAGCATTGATAATGCTTTCCTATGTGACCGGCTGAATGCGCACAGCTCTTGCCGCGCGTGCGCATTCAGCCGACTGGGAGGAGAAGAGGAGGAGAGCTCCCCGCCCAGCGCTGGGGGAGTATGCTCCCCTTCCAGAGCCGGGGAGTATGTTTTCCTGGCACTATAGTGGTCCTTTAAAGGTACTCCCAGAACTACGTGTCGTCTGGGTACTGGGAGAGGATAGGGCTGATCACTGTTCCAGTGTGGCGAATTCAAAGGGGAACGTCCTTGTAAGGACTAGAGCTCCCAGGACTGAGTGTCGTCCAGTGCCTGGGGGTTGCTAGAGCGAGTTCCCCATTCGGCTCCAGGAGGGAGCGCCTCCAAGACACCAGTCAAACCATGGCGTCTGTGGACAGAAGTGCTGCGGTTTGCCAAGGGTACAGGGAGCTCCGTTACAGGTGAGAACAAGGGGACCACAATGAGTTGGTTCGGTAAATGAACGGACAGCCGTACAACCAGGAATAAACGTGTATTAAGGCATCCATTCTGCTACACTGTGTGTTTGTGGTGTGAGATTATGCTGTCCGTGAGGAGGGAAGCTTGGGCTGCCGATGGACATATGTATTGGTTGTGTTTGTGGGTGAGGAGGGAAGCTCAGGTTAATGGATACCGTATGTTTTATGTATTGTGTGTGTGTGTGTGCTTGTGGGTGAGATTATGCTGTCAGTGATGACGTACCAGGAGGCTATCAGAAGTGGCTGATTATTGGTTGCTATTCTGGAAATTGATTTTTATTTTGTTCACGGTTTTTTAGCGGTTTCCGTTAGCATGTCCCATTCCCACTCACTGAGCTCTCCTGTGTTTATCAGGCAGGTACTGGGCAGAAATCTCCGACACCATCCTCTCAGGAACTTTCCGGCAATGGAAGGAAGGAACAACGAAGAGTGAGATCTTTTACCCAGGTAGGATATGGAGAAAGTGGATCTTTTTGAATTCTGAGCTTAAAATGACACATTCTTTATGAATGAATGACGTGTGTGTGTGTATGTGTGTGTGTGTGTATATATATATATATATATATATATATATATATATATATATATATATATATATATATATATATATATATATATATATATATAATCTGTGTATTGATCACAGCTTCATGTAAAGCACAGGCAGGGCAAACACATTACAATGGACGCTGCAGGAGTAGTTTTTACTTTGTACTTTTCTTTCATCCATTTGATCTGATAATGTACAGTTCATGTTTGGTGGGTCTGCCGCACTTGTGGATGGCGCACGCATGCTGCATGCTTAACTTGAGTCTGTGTGCGCATGTTCTAAGTCCTCTCTGCTGAGGGTGAGGATTGTCTGTGTAACGGATCACCTGGCACCCAGACTGGGTACCTCTGTTGAAGGATGCTCCTAGCGCTTCCTAAGGACTCCAAGCACTGCAGCAGACACCATAACCACTGTAGACTCCTCCAGAGAGCAAAACAAGAGCTTAGCAGTGAATATAGCAAGAGAGTATGCAGAGCATAGCAATCCCTTGTAGCACATTCCCCCAATAAGAGACTACACTCCAAATTGAGGGTGAAGTAGAACTGTCTGTACACAATGGTCTAATGTAATTATCACAGGCAGGAAAATACAGTTTTACACAATATTCATAACTCTAAAAGCATCACATTCACATAAAACATAATTACATTTTCAGAATTAGCATACTCCAAATACAAACATACGTCAAAATCATACAAATTGGTCCAGTGGGTCAAAAGTTAGTTGAAAGTCCCTTTGTGACTGCCTGCAAGCATGGCTTGGGTGTGGTAAGCCAATTACCTCCAGCATACAGAAAATGGCTCTATTCACAACAACTGTAAAAACACATAAAAATACATAATTCCTATTATACTTAACAGAACCCCCACATACAACCTATCCCCAGATAGCTTGGATCTGAGCGCTCACTATATCCGAACAGTGCTCAGATACCACAACCACAGTCAAATCGCCATGGGGTTAAAACACAGCAACAAGTTCCAACTGGCCTGGCAGTGTCCCTGGGACAATGCCCTGCTGGAGAACAATAGACAGGAAACGGGGGGAGGGCACACCTTCTCATGTATTCAAAGCGGCAGAAAAAGTGTTTCAAAATCCAATACGCCCAAATAATGTCTTTAAAGGGCAATACATCCCAGGGGCCAATGTCACATGGCAGGAGGCTGGCAATCAGTCTTCCCCAATGCCCAGGGGCGAGGTCGGTTTCACCACAGTCTGCACTATAAACTGTGACTGAGATGGATCCTTCACTAACTACAATAAAGTCATGAAATGTTTGTTGTACTCCATGTATCTGGGAGCTGTGTGTAAGAATGAATGTGGAAGGTGCGTTGAATGAACGCCCCCGCCCCCCCTCCATTGAGCTTTCACTGGCATCTGATGTGTTCAAGAAATCAATAAATGCTCACAGCAGCCGAGTGTCCTAGAAAGAAGCAGACTAGTATTCACGCACAATAAGAATATTTTCAAATCCATAAATTTAATGTAAGTGTTGGCTCTTCCCTGTAACCTAGACAATACACAGAATCCGTAGCTCTGGGTAGATTAACTCCCAGGCTAGCGCCTGATGTGGGGGCAGGACGGTGTGCTCTGCGCTTTGCTTCTTGTATTTCATTAACGGAGTTGCTCATCTACACAAAGTAGGTTTTCTCTCCCTCTTTAGATGACCCAGTCATACAGCTCCTGACTCCCTTTCCCCCCCGCCCCCTTTAGTTGTTTAGCTTAGTTGAGGCAGCATTGCCAAGAGCACCAGCCTTTCCACTCCTCCCTAAATCTTAGTAAAGCGGAGGATCGGGAATTTTTTTTTTATTATTTTTTTTTTTACTAATTATGAGCACTTTTGGACATGGTTTCCCTTTAACAAGTTATGTGCAGTGATATTCACTCAATTATATTTCTCGTCTGTGTCCTGTTTATCACTTGCTGTGCCCTCCTTCTTTATTGCTATTTCCTTATTAGCATTTATATAGTGCCATCATATGCTGCAGCGCTGTACATTTATAGAAAGGTGAAGGCCCTGCTCAGCAAGCTTGTAACCGATAGTGACACTTCTTCCTCTCCCACAAATCATTTGCTCATTCCTTGTTCATTTTTCTCTGCAGGAGACACCATTGTCCACGAGGTCGGCGAAGCCACGTCTGTGCAGTGGAGTGCTGGAACTTGGATGGTGGAGTACGGCCGTGGATTCATACCTTCCACCTTGGGTTTTGCTCTGGCTGACACCCTTTTCAGCACCCAGGATTTTTTAACCTTGTTCTACACAATCCGGGTGTACACCAAGGGGCTTCTGCTGGAGACCCAGACCTATCTGTCAGAGCTGGGCTTTTTTTAACGTGGACTCCATGTAAACGTGTATTCCATGCCAAAGGCAACTTCACTCTTCATTAGCCGCACTTTGAGCAGACACTGGGGGTTAACAGTGGCTTCTGCTACTGCTGACATCTGCACACGGAGCCACAAACCGAATGAAAAGGTTAAGCTTTATAAACCTTAAACCATCACCTAACAGTAACTCTTTACCTTCTAACGGCCTGGATTGGCTCTTATACCACTTGACATTTTGAAGAAATAATCAGGGTTTGAGCTGGATGTAAATCTAGGGATATATACGCACGCTGGGTTTTATAGGTTCAATACGTACAGATCATCGTAATTAGTCTTTACTCTGAACACATTGTTACTATGTCTCATTGCTGATTAACGGTCCCATAAGTAATACCTTATGTCATGCACTAAATGTTTGGTAAGAGCAATCTGTATGAACCACATTAAGTGGGATGGTATAAATCAAAAAATGTAAAGCTCTGTATGCGAGAATCTGCTTCCAATATTTTACTTTAATCAATAGAACATTGGACATTTTACAGTTATTCAGAATCTGACCACGTTGTGCACTTTATGGTGAATGTTGGGATAGTAACCATGCTGCTGTGATTAATGTAAAGTTGGGGAACGGATCTAAAAGGGTCAGAATATTGCAGAGCGAAGCATGTTAAATCATCATAAAATGTTTCTAGATACAGCCTAGAACTTTCTCTAGGTTCTCTGCTTTCTCTTGATTGACACCTTTTCTAACAATAATTCAGACCCAGAATTGCCATTGTTGGTGACCTGCGTTCTGGAATTCTCTGGATGAAACCACTAATTCTGAGCCGAAATCCAAGTTTATGTAGATTCCTGATAGCATGTCCTATCTGTGTAAAACGGTCCATATATTTATGCAACGTGAATGGGCATCGTTCGGATTTTCCTAACAAGCCATTCTAATGAATTCTGCAATCTTTGTTTTAAATGACATTTACACAACACTATGAAATGTAGAATGTGTTTGAGCATGGTAAGTGTTAGGATTCAGACTAGCTGCTAAAGGATATTTGGCCCTCTGCCCCTTGGCAATCACACAAGCAAGCTTTGCTGTAACACTAGTTTACTCAGTGGGGTACAGCTGCAAACTACATGCCAAATATTAAACTAAAGAAAGAAAGGCAGGCATGCTGAGAATTATAAATCGCAGGTTACAAATAGCTCCAATCTTTTCCAACATGGTTTTGAGCACAAGTGCGAGCTCTTCTCTCAATTCTCCATAATACCAGTCTAGTAGTAAATGTCTTAATACTACTATACTCGCACTTGTGGTCAAAACAATGTTGGAAAAGATCAGAGCTATTTGTAACCTGCGATTTAATTCTGTTGGAATTAGATCTGATCTATTTGTAACCTGCGTTCTAATTCTGGGTTGTTAGGGGATGGGAGGGATATACAGATGGGGGAAAACCTGAAACCGTTTAATAACAAATTGCATTTAAGTGAGAACCCGCCCATATGCAATATTTCCGTCTCCTTAACGAAGCTCACACCTCGAGGTTTGTTCAGTAATGGGTTATGGTAACTGTTTACTGAACTTTAAAGCAGTCGGCTAGTTCTGCCCATTGTCCTCTGTTCTGCGTATCCACCTTTCATTGTAGTCTGGCTTTCTAGAAAAGATTAATGACTTGTAGCATAAAGCATACAGCTTCTTGCTTCAAACCTTATTTCTCATCTTCAAACAAATTATTTTTTGGAAATGGATTTATTTATTTTTTGTTTGGGCATATTACATGGCTCCTCCACACCCTATAAACCATATTTTGTCACACAGGTTTGTGTTTTTATAATGGCGCAGGCCTGGTGACCTAACGATTTCAGTGACCTGTTATTCAGGGTTAATATGAAGGCTATTATAGCCACTTTAATGGGAAAGCCGTGTCACTACAGAAAATGACTTATTACCGGTAGCTGGCTGCAGCCTCCTCCAGTGACTGAAATGGCACAGGGACCCAAAGGTTCCTACAGGAGCATGAGTAAGGGTCACTGATCAGATGCCTTGTCTGTTTCCAGAGGAAACCATGCGTGAAAGACACCCTATATACCTTTCTTTAAAGGGTTACTATAACCTTACCGATGGAACATCGGACCCCCTCTTAATTTGTTGTAAAACCGTCAAAATTCCAGGTTGCTGCAGCTCCTGAATTTTCCACGCACCCTCATGACATCACAGGGCCTTCGCTCAGAGCGGGAGCGAAGGTTTAAAAAAAAATGTGGAACCGAGGAAGGTGGGAGCACACAGTGGGAGGAAAGAGCTCTGCCTGCAAGTGGAAGATTATACCGTCGGCGGCAGCATGCAGTGCGTGCTGGCGACAGACATATTTTATGCACAGAATTGACATTCGGCGGTACAGAGCAGAGTTGTGTGCTGGGGGTGCAACTAACCCCAGCACACCATTCCAAATCTCTAACTATGTGCAGTGATTCAAGCTGAAACCTTGACAATGACCATTTTAAATCACTCTAGTAGTCATGTTGATTGGAGTAACCCCTTGTGGGGCTCATTATGCAAAACCAACTACAGCATGGAGTGAGTGTGATATTACCCTGGTGAATTTCCAGTCGTCTGCCAGACTTGCTCCCTTTTTCTGCAGATTGTCACATGTGAGATCAGCACTCGTATTCTATGTGCCATCATACTGTTTAGTAAAACCTGAATCATCTGCTAGTAGCAGGAATTGTTACCAATACAATAGAAGAACTAGATAATGCTATAAACAATGAATATAATACAATATCTGTCACTACCTAAATGGAGGAAGGAGAAATTGGGTGCTATTGATCGATTTCCATGGTGATGACTGCAGTGTCCTACCTCCTCCATCCCTCAAAACAGCATGGTGTCTCTACGCATAGATTTCCTGGTGTAATGATGCAGAGCAGGGCTCTCTGGGATATTCCCAGCATGCACTGCTAGTGGGTCCTCTAAATCTGTCTAATATGCACCTCTAAAACACCCGAATGTCTCTGTCCCTGTGTTTTATGTCTGTTTTGTCTCTGTTTTTTGGGGGGAAAAAATCCATAGGTTCTACCTTTTTTAATTCTATTTTTAAATCCAATAAAATAAATATTGAAACTATCCTCCATGTGTAAAGTCTGGTTTGAGTGGCCTGTGAGTTAATGTAGGACCGGCACTGTGCACAGCTACAGTTACCGAACAAGTACCGGCACTGTGCACAGCTACAGTTACCGAACGAGTACTGGCACTGTGCACAGCTACAGTTACCGAACGAGTACTGGCACTGTGCACAGCTACAGTTACCGAACGAGTACCGGCACTGTGCACAGCTACAGTTACCGAATGAGTACCGGCACTGTGCACTGCTACAGTTACCAAACAAGTACCGGCACTGTGCACAGCTACAGTTACTGAACGAGTACCGGCACTGTGCACAGTTACATTTACCGACTTGGTACCGGCACTGTGCACGGTTACATTTACCCAACGAGTACCGGCACTGTGCACAGTTACATTTACCCAACGAGTACCGGCACTGTGCACGGTTACATTTACCGGATGGGTAATGCCACTATGCACAGTTGCATTTAACCAACAAGTACCGGCACTGTGCTCAGTTACATTTACCGAACAGGCACCACATGTACAGAAGTTGGTGTTCCCAATTTTCCAATCCACACAGAGAACAAGTATTTTTTCCTTCTAATAATAATTGGTTTAAAATAAAATGTAAGGATTTTCTAATGATGGCTTTTAATACATATTATTTTTCCCCCTGCCATCTAAAGAAGATGATATTGCCGGTTTGTTGTCCTCTCCGTGATGGATTGTCACATTTATGGCTCTGTCCAGTGAATTACAAGGGATTCTCTAAGCACCAAAACTATTACAGCCCATTTTAATGGTTGGGTGCCAGGTCACAAGCTCCCAAGCATTTGTGATAAAATCCCATATATCAGCTGCAGGCATTATTTTCAGTAAAGGTAAATTCTGTTTTAGAAAGTGCCTACCACTAGGATTGAGTAAAATATGTATATATTTCCTGGCCATTTCCATGGCAGCACAACAATGGATAGCTCCTCCCTATCCCTAACCAGACAGGAACCGAATTAAAACAGAAGGTATAAGTAACCCCCCTTACCCCTCCCATCCTCAGTCTTTTTGTTCCTGTCCTATCCCTAGGACAGACTTCGTCATTCTAAGACTAGAGATTTTTTTCTTTTTGGCTTACCTGAGGGTTGTTACCTTCTCCCTCAAGGGAGTTCAGCCTCTCTCCCTTGGGCAGTCTCCAGTACACGGCCCTATGCAAAGGTGACCCCTTTAGTGACCGGGGGTTCTAACTTGCTGTGACCCTAGGGGTAGCAAGATCATGCCATCACCATGATTCCTGCAGTGACCAAGAGGTAGCAGGTTGGGCATGCACATACAGAGCATATGGATTTACTTGCGGTGACCCTAGGGGTAGCAAGATCATGCCATCACCATGATTCCTGCAGTGACCAAGAGGTAGCAGGTTGGGCATGCACATACAGAGCATATGGATTTACTTGCGGTGACCCTAGGGGTAGCAAGATCATGCCATCACCATGATTCCTGCAGTGACCAAGAGGTAGCAGGTTGGGCAGGCACATACAGAGCAAATATATGGAAATAACCCCTTCTATCCTTCATCGGTTTCATCTAAACCAGGGGTTCTCAACCCAGTCCTCAGGACCCCCTTCCAGTCCAGGATTTGGGGATTACCTGGGTGTGTCTAAGGTGTTTAGAAAAAGAAAAAAAAAACACCTTAGAGTCTAAGGTGTTTTTTTCCCCTTTTTCTAAACACCTGAGACACACCCAGGTAATCCCCAAATCCTGGACTGGTAGGGGGTCCTGAGGACTGGGTTGAGAACCCCTGATAAAGGGTAAGAGATTCCTGCTAATCTGAATTTCCATCAAATGTATTCCTAGGCCTCTGCTGGCCCTTTTAATATAGCAGCTGGATTAATTTATTCCTAGGCCACAGGCCT